GCAATAATTTTGCGAGGGATGTAACTTAAAAGGATATTTTAGAAAAGCACGATTTGTAATGAGCTATTTTTAAAACATGATTTATGCATGAGTGGTAAAAATCATGTATATATTAATTATTAAAAGTGAAATCATTCAAAATCAACAGAATTTTTAAAAATAATTTCGACTAAAAACAATTACGAAATTCATAACTGAGCAAAGCTCAGTATCTTATAAAAGGAATGTTATCAAACAATCAGCTTGTACGGAAAAAATACTATTAAATTCGTCTCTACTGCTAAAACAACAGAGAAGATTAAGTACTTCCACCATAGACATTAAGAAACTGCCTTATTTGATTAGAAATGTTTCTTAAAAATACAGTGCTCCCTTGTCAGTAGATCAAAACACTCCTATCTAAAGCAAATTTTGGGTAATTCAAATTATTTTAAGTGAATTAATGTATGTCTTTATTGGCTCGTTATGCAAATTCATTAATATTAGAGATGTCAAACTTGTGGCCAATATCTTAAAAAAATTTCATATTAATACAACTAAAAAATATAAGGACCCTAATGCAAAAATACAGGTTTTACTTATTTTAAAAAATCCATAGTTTACCGTATTGTTAATGTTCTACAAAGCATCACAATAAGCAATTTGAATAAAACAACTCTATAACCTGGTTTCAACTATATCCCGGTATACGTCAACTTTTCACACCCCTACAATTTTATGAAAATCAGGGGGTCGACTTATATACCAGTAAAGTCAGACATTCGTTCAGCGTGAAGAGTCAGTACATTATAAACAATGAGGTAGATATGAATAATTCGGTATCAATTTACTCCTTCAAAGTTATTTTTAATATGTTATGCACAATTAATTTTGTATTTTCTCTCATCATAGTTTCTTTACAAAAAAAAATTTTTTTTTTCAAAAACACTACTTTAAATTAAGTTCAGAAAAAAAAATTTAAATAAGAAGGAAAGTTAATTTATTTAAGAGTACTTCAAAAAAAAAAATAAATAAAGCACTATGAAAACTTTTAAAACATGCCATAAAGCTAAATTTAAAGTTTCCAGACCATTATTTTGTCTGATTCAATAACAATAGTAGTGTCATCATACGAATCTCACTCTGCAATGGATTCTACTTCATCTTTATGTGAAGGGTCCCACAAAGAATTGCCTTCACCTCCATGCACAGAATTTGAAATTCTACATCAGAGTGTGTAGACAAATTATTCAACAAAAAATAAGAACCTTTTAAGCACTCAAACATTTTTAAGCACTTAAAAAAAATCACAATTAGGTAGGATTGGAAAGTTTTTGACTATTTACGGTTTTATCTGTTTTTAATCGTCATGTTAAAAAAAAAAGAAACTTTTAGCATTGATTCTGTCAAAATTTTTGAAACATGTAAATCAAATGGAGTTTTCATACGTTACGGACTGGCGATACGCCGAAATAGATTGGGGGTCAATTAATTGTGAAAACGTTGAATAGAACAGTGTCTTTCTGCATAATTCATAGCGAAAATCAACATAGTAAAGGAAAAATCTCACTTCTGAAAAGGGAAAATTAAGCACTTTTTAAAAACACTCAATGAAAAAGCACTTTTAAAGGCTTTTGAGAAACGAAAATCAAAAATAAGCACCTTTAAGCCCTTTTTAAAAATGCTACGCGCCCTGTACACATTTTAAAGACTTTATGATAACATCTGAATCCACATTTCATTACATAGTGTTAATTTGAAAGCAAATGTATCATATTTGTAGAGAAAAATGTGAAATATTTTTAACTTCAGAAAAATTTGTAGTCATAAATTTTTTTTCAGTGTTTTAATTTTAGAAATCTTCATACGAGTATTTGATTTCTTCAGATACCAGAAATTTCTTCAATTCGCAATCAAAAATGGGGGTTGACTTAAATGATGGAATATGCATCACTTTTTAGGAGCAGTCCACAAATGATGCTCCACTTGAAAAGGGAGGGGTTTGTAAAATTGGGGGAAGTAACAAAAACTGTGACAACAAACATTTTAGTTAGAATAAAAAACATTTAAAATCAGCAGATTATTATATTTTTGTATTAGTTTGTTTAAGAGTATTTCCACCTTTTCAATACAAAAATACTCACATAGTTGTTATAATCATGAATGCCATTAAAACGCATAGTAAAAGTTTGTAAATAAAATTTGAAATAAGATCTCTAATATAGTGCTTTGTTCCTGAACTTAAAGCATGTGTAATATAATATGGCAAGTTGACTAGGGTTATTATCAAAAGTGACCAGGAATGACATATGGGTGAAAAATAATGAAAAAAAAAACTTTGACATCATTTATGATACAGCCAACTACAGTACACTCTCAATATCTCGAAAACCTTATGTCAAAAAAATATTTTTCTTCTTGACATTATAAATCCATTCATCTAATGTTAATTTGAATTGCTAAGTAGAAGAGTTTCTTCTCAAATTCGTTTCACCTTGTTATGTCGAACTTTTTACAAAATAGAAATGGAATTTTTTTTGGAAAAATCACAGTTTTACAGTTTATTGTAAACCAATTCTTTTTTATTTAATTCATAATTATTTTTGTCTCACGTTTAAAAATAATATTATCATTGTTGTATTTAGACTGATAGTCAACTGTCATTGCATACATATTTAATAGTAATTATTCTTATGTTTCATGACTTTACTTTTTAGAGTAATATTTTAGAATATATTTTTCTACTTTTTAGAACATATTTAGTTCTGAACTTGCTATCTCGAAATTTTTTTTTAGTTTTCCTTTTAACTTTGAGATATTAAGAATATACTGTATATACCAAATTATAAATCAATTGGCCTTAACATATCACTATATAAACATAAAAATATCCAGAAATCCTTTTTTAAAAGAATGAAAGCTAAAAATTAAAATTTCTTATATAAATAATCTAAATTCTGCAAGCACCATAAGAATTTTGAAGTACTAAACGAACCAATCACATCACTAAGTATTTTGCTCCAGATCATCTCTTCTAGTCTGAAATTTATGTACTTTGTTGCATAAAATGTACTTATTCGGCTACATGCACAATTTAAGAAAAATACATTAAATACTCGAGGAGTTTACATTTAACACACATTTTTAAAAAAATTGCTCAACAAACAAAAATTATAAAGTTCAATTGAATTCTTATCATATAATTCAACTGTGACTTACAAATTGAATGTGGCTAATTTATTTTAAAATTCTACTTAAAATAAATTAGCCACATTCTACTTAAAATAAATTAGCCTTAACATAGAAGAACACAACTTTATAAAAGTACTGATGCGGCCACAAGTATAATAGATCAAGGCTTGATTAATATTTTTTTAAAAAAAATCACTCACAAGAAATTTTTTTTTATTATTTAAATTTAATGTAATTTCTATTTTGATGTGTGCAATTTAATCATTAAATTGCCAAAAGACTAAAAATTTATATTTTTGACTACAGCAAATTTAACTAATTTAGTAAATCTTTTAAAAAAAATTGTCACAACAATTATAAATATACACATATACAATTACAAAAATATATATTGTTTCGAAAAATGCAGCTGATGATCTAGAACATTTCTGACATATGAATAGCCACTTTAGGGGGACAAAATTCTATTTTTATAAAATGTCCCAGCTAAGCATTTAGAGAACTAAATATTTTAGATGTCTTTACACAGCGTGATTTTTAAAAAAATGTATTGTTTCTTTTAAAAATATTTAACTCATAATAACTTTTAGAAACAAAAATTACTAAAAAGTTATTTGTAAGTTATGTTACAAGTACAGGTTTTGTACACATCAATGAATAAAATCTGCAGCCCTTGATTCATCCATGACTCATCTCCATCAAGCTACTAAAAGTTGATTCAATAAACCTATATACATAAAAACTTTTAACAATTCTAATATTAAAAAAAAACACACACAATTAAGTCAAACTAATATTAAAGCTTAAAACTTCCAAAAAATAGAAGTACCCACTAATTTAAAATGCTAACAACTTAAATCATTCAACAAAAAAATGTGCTATGATCTAAAAATGTTTTTAAAAAAAAGAAAGAAAAAGAAGAAGTTTGAAGATTTATTTAAAAATTATGAATGTAAGAAATTTATATATAATAAATAAAAATTTTAAAATAAATTTTTCTGAAGGCTAAGTTAAAAACTTGTTACATTGTACAAATATCTTTTAAGAAAATACGATGCCTTGCAAAANTATGGGGTTGTGCCATACAAATCTCTATGGTAGCCATAGGCTTATGGTGTTGTGCCATACAAATCTCTATGGTAACCATAGGCGTATGGTATCTTGCCATACAAATTTCTATGGTAGCCATAGGTTGCCATAGATTACCATAGGCTTCTCTATGGCAAATTTTCCTAAGGGATTGTACAAATATCTTTTAAGAAAATATGAAGCCTTGCAAAATCCTAAATGTTTTTAATTAAAAAATACTAAATAAGCTAACATTGCTCTAATTAAACTATATAATATTTAAGATGGTGGCAGTTGTTATTAAATTTAAATTCAATGTTGCCACTGAGAGCTAAAAACTTTTCCTGTAGTCTTCTAAAAAAATTTGTGTCCTTATATGTTGATTGTTAATGAAAAATTTGATATAATCATTCTATTTTTTAGACAAAATATTTATTTTACTTACTATGATTATGTAGCTTAATTTATAACAAAATAATAAGCATAGAAGTTATTTTCACAAACCATTATAAGATATTAAAATGGATAATCAAGTCTATTTTCAAAGGATATTTTGTGCAGTTTAGCGGAAATTCAAAACTTCTAATCCTGGAATTTAATTACAAATAATATGATACTGAAAACTGTGGAAAAAAAGTTTACAAAACTAAGTATAAATACTGATTGGTAGTGTAAGTATGAAAAGGAGTATATGAGTTTATAGTATATAAACATGATCGACAAATAAAAGCAAGGAAATGTGATATACAAAAACAACAAAATCTTATTTACATATTTATTGTATATACAAGACAAGGAACAAATTTTTTATTTTATTTTAAAAATAGCAGTAGATTTCATACATTGCTCCATCAAGTATGTAGGCAGGTTCAAGATGTGTCCATTCCTGAAAAAAAAAAATTAAGAAAATTACTAAATAAAACAAAATTTAAAAGTTAATAAAAATTTAAATATCAGAGGCGTGATTGAGTGCTTTGTGCTTAAAAGCAATTTTTGGAGCAGCAGTTTCATTGTGAATATAAAAAGAAAATCACCAAATGTAAAAAATAAGATTTATAAAAAAATAAATAAATAAAAAAATTAAATTAAAAATTAAAAAAACTAAGCAATAGTTTTGAACTTTTTCAAGTTCATGGGACAATAGTTTTTCTAGGAAACTGCAAAAACAAGTTATAAAATTTTATGCAATACACAGTTTGAATTTTAACTTAGATATGACTCAATTTATACAGTATTAAGAAACTAAACATAAATATATTCACAAATTTATAAATTGATTTCCTTTTAACTAGAGCATTCGAAGTTCATAGATGACCTGAAATAAACCAAGAATTCTTTTTTTTTTTCTTCTTTAAAATAAATTTTATGCAATAGTACATTTTTTTTTCTCTATATACATATTGTGGTCTTAATTATTTTTTAAACCAATCCAGCATTAACCCTCAGCATTGTCCCTTTTTCAAAAAATGAAACTAAAAGTGTTCCCGCTTCCAAAGAAGCACAAAAGTCAAGCTTGCAGGAAGCAAGACTCTTCAATCATTGCACCATAGTATGCAACTACTAGACATACTATATTCATAATGCTGTATTGATCAATAGTATATTACTGAAAAAAAAAAAACAATAAATTATATAATTTTATACTACATTGCAATGAAAAATCTTATTACAGTCAGTTAGAAACCTATATAGAGATAATTTAAAAAAAGAAAGAAAGAAAAATAATGAAATTTTTTCAGTGACGCTCGCTCATTCTCAACATCCTCTTAATTAACACTTAATTTAAACAAGATGCATTAATATCAAAAAGTGAGTGAATCATTTAAAGAGTGAAAATAATATTTTTATAAAAATTATCAAATATCAGAAAATATATGTGCCAAAAAAAATAGACTAAACCATATCAGTTTCTGGCTTAAAATAAATATGCCCATTAGAATATAACTTTCATTTAAATACAGAGTTCCACTTTCATCTAAAAGAAACTTATTTCTTCCAAGAAGTAGAAAAAAAATTGGAAGAAACTATACAAAATGGAAGAAATAAAAACTGACAAATGACATTGTTTAATAATAATTGAATAATCAAATTTAAAACAATAACAAATTAACACAATACAAAAAAATTAATTAAAAAATTAACACAGTACAAAAAAAGATTTTTAGATTTAAATTTTTAAAAAATAACTATTTTCATATTTATTTGATACAGAATTTTAAAATCTACATGACCTATTATAATAATTTATTTTATATTTTTGATTTATACTATCCCTGTTTTCTAAAATAAATATGTACACTTTTATATCCAGAAAAATATGTTCATTTTTATCTAAATAAAATATGTGTAAATATATTATTTTCAGTTTAATAAATTAATATTACAAGTAAAGATAAAATTATCTAAAAAAGTAAAAAATATTATCAGCTAAATATCAATTAAAAAATTATTACAATTGGATAAATTTTTAATGCTAAGTTTTATAAGGGCAAAGTACTTTTTTGTAGTTACATATATATTGTTAGTTTTGTGTCTAATTATTTTTTTTTTAAAGAATAACTGATTTATTTAACAATAAAATCAGACAAATTAGATATTTTCCCTACAGTAAAAATATTTGTAATTCTAAAGCTGAAAAACTAATAAAATGTTTTTTTTTTAAAAAAAAAACTAAGCTTTAACATTTATGTGTTAAAATAAGTTTTAATTTTTAAAATAAATACTCAATAATATAACTGAAAATGCACGTAAAAAAGTCAATGTAATTTTTCATGATTCTCAGTCCAAATATAAAAAAGCTTTAAAGCTGTTTACTATTTAACCAATATTTTTAAAACTGTATAAAAATAATCATTGATTTGAAAATGAAAATTCAGTGATTTGCAAATCAGAATTCTTTTAAAAAAATCTGCATTGATACATACCTTTAGGAATTTTTTTCAATATTTCTACTTAACAGAAATTGAATTGATTTAATTTCTTAAAAAATTTATTATTCTTTAAAGTTTTTTCCCTTTGATTTTCACTTATTTAAATGTGATTTTGTAAATGACTTGGAAATACTACTACTGTTTAAACTGGATTGCAATAGAAAACCTTTTAAAATTTTAATTGAATAATTGATATTTTGTTATTAAAAAAAGTTTCTTCCATTTGGGTTTAAGGAACCTATTTCTGCCGAGGCAAATTTCTTTATGGTATTTTACACTGTGAATGAAACTTAACAACATGATCTTAAAGTTTATCCTATTAATCATTATAGCCGATCCTATATAAACATTAAGTAACCCTAAATGAATTTATAGGATGCAATACACAACATGCAATAAAAGTAATGGTTAGAAACAGGCAAATAAGTAATAACAGGATGCGTAGCTAAATTCTTCAACAAAAAATAAGCATCTTTATAAGCACTCAAATATATTTTTAAGCACTTAAAAAAAATATCATAATTAGGCTGGGTAGGAAAGTTTTTGACAATTGACAGTTTTATTTCATTTTAACCGTCATATACAAAAAAAAAAATTATAATAATTCCTTTTGGCTTTGCTTTTGCCAATTGTCAAAAATCATGACATTTTGAAGCATGTAACGCAAATGGCGTTTTCAAACGCTACGGACTGACAATACACTGGAATAGAATTAATTGTGAAAACGTTGAAGAGAACAATGCGAACTGTGTCTTTTTGCATAATCATAGCCGCCAACCTTAGGAATCAAAAATTAGGAACACTATATGCGACAAAATAATATGTAAAAAGTAGTAGAGTAAGACCAAAATTTAACTATTAAATAATAACACTAATAGACATATATTTAAATACCGCATGTAAATTGGTAAAACAAAACTATAAACACTATCTTTTGTGGGAAATTAATAATATTAATATTTTATAATTATGAATACCGGTATAATAATTTAAAAACAACCATTATCTATTAATACATAATTATTCTTCTCAAAATTATAAGACACTGGTAAATAATAATCTACATCACAAACAAATATTTCTGATGCAAGTGTTAAAATACTACAATAAATTTTTTAAAAGATAATAATAGTTGTTAAAGATCTTAGTGAAATGATCAGCAACAGCTATTGGAATAGTATTTTCTAATAAAAAGCTACTAAAAATTACTTCAGCACAATAAACACAGGAAGTGCTGTTGCGGCGAACAGAATAAGGTATTGGTTTAAAAGCAAATATACTGCAATTTTATGAAAATTCAAATTTTTTATAAAAATATCATATTTTCAGATTTTAATAAAAAATTAGGAACAAATCCAAAAAATTCAGAACAGTTGGCAGCTATGCATAATCAGGGATGAGATTGGCCAAAAGGCAAAAAAGCTGAATTTTCATGGGAGTAAATCGTGATTTATAGCAAAAATATCAGTAACATATTCTCATCCAGTTTTGCTGATGTTATAATGCCTACATATAGCAATAATCGTCGATAGAATAACTGCCACAGTTATAGGAACTAATTACAAAAAAAATAAAATTACTTTGTACAAGAATCGCGATCTTGGATTTTAAAATCGCGTGAATATAAATCACGATATAGAAATCACGTTAATGAAACTCAATATTGGATTTCAAAAATGTGAAAATAGAAATCATGATGCGTAATTTTCAGATCGCGTAGATACGAATTACGATGCATAATTTCTAAATGGCGTGAATATGAATCCAAAGGATAATTTTTAAATCACATGTAAGTACGAAAATAGATGTTGAATATTACAACCGCAAAAATTAATCACGACTTTGGATAAACTTGCCGTGAATACGAATTGTTACATAGAATTTTAAAAATTCCTGAATACAAATCGCGATATTGGATTTTAAAATCTCGTAAATAAGAAACGCAATGAACGATATTGAAATCGCGTGAATAAGAATAGCAGTGAACAACTTTTAAATCAGGTAAATAAGAAAATCGAAGTTTGATATTAAAATACGAGCTATCTAGCGGAAGGGGGAAAATTAAGAAAATCTTATTTTCTACTCGTAAAAGCTAAAATAAGTAGATATGTAGAAGGGTTAGCAGCTATGTAGTTTGAATTTTCAAAATAGCTTTCGATATATTATATCTATACATCAAATCGGAAATAAATATAATTATTTTATTTCAACGACTTAATTTTCAGAAAAGGCGAAACATTTATTTAAAAAACTGAAACTTTTAGAAAATCGGAGTTTTTGATAATAAGGCTGAAATTCAAGAGACAGAAGTGAAAAAGGCGGAAATCCGCTAAAAAGGGGAAAAATCTCATCCCTGCATAATTCATAGCGAAAATCAACATGGTAAAATCTCATATTGAAAAAGATAAAATTAAGCACTTTTTAAAAACACCAAATAAAAAAAGCATCTTTAAGGACTTTTAAAAAACGAAAATGAAAAAGAAGCACATTCAAGCAATTTTTAAAAATGCTACGCACACTAAATAATAATAAAATAGTAGTAAAACAGGTTGCTAAGAAGAAATATAATACAGTACAGAACCCGTTATCCGGAAATCAGAAAACAGGAAAGAAATTCTATTAGTTTTCCCGCCATTTTTAAAAAAAATTACTTTTTTTCCTCATAAGATTTTAGGATTTTTCATTCTTTTTTGAAAGATGTTTACCTTACCATCATTTTGGAAATAATCATTAGTGTATTACTTCATTGTTTTTTTCCTCTTTTTAAGATTATTTTTAATTTTTTTTTTTAGTTTGGTTTAACTATAAAAAAAAGGCATTTTGTAGCGATTCAGAAAACCAGAAAAATCAGTTATCCGGTATATTGATGGTCCCGATCCTTCCGGTTAATCAGTTCCCTACTGTATATATAAAAAAAGGCTTATAGGCTTCTAAAAAACAGCTTACCATCATCTTCATCACTATCATCTTCTTCATCCATATCTGCATCATCTTCATCTGATTCGGACTCCTCCGATTCAATCCATTCTATTTTTTCGGCTACAAATGGTACCAGAGTCCGCCATTCATCTACTTTATGAATATTTAAGGCATGGAAGTCTGAAAGTGTTAGTTGCTTATCACCTTCTTCATATGTTCCACCATACAAGTACAGTATGCCATTCTTAATTACCATCCCTGCATTCATTCGAGCTTTTGGAATAAACACATCTGCAGAAGCTGCTTTATCTGCAGAAGAAGCTCCAGCATCCCCAGAAGTAGACTGAGAGGCACTAGCACCGATTTTTACAGTAAATATACTATCATCATAAGTTGTTGCAGCAGCCTAAAAAGAATTAATAGTTTTAAATTACAAAAATAAACATAACACATTATTAAGACTAACTGCAATTAACACACTTAAAACCAATACTTAATATGCATATCACAAATTAAGCATGCTAGTAATGAAATAAAGTGACAATAACTGCTTTCATAACATAAAAGGTAAAGTATTGATGCAACAGCTCACTGTGGGCCAGGGGAACATAGAGGTCAAGGCTCCACAATTTTGAAACCAAAGGCATGATTGTGGCAATGTGGTCAACATTGTACACATGCATATCTTTACTTCCCGGACAAGCTGGTACCCATTGATCTGAAGCTGGGTAGGCTTCAAAACGCCACTGGGAATGGAACCCCAATTTCAAAACATAGTAAAGTTAAACATTTGTGCAGAAAGGAGTCATGAGCGTTAAGTCTCTACAATATCGTGACCAACAACTGTGACAATTTGGACAGCATCATGTACAAGCTGTGCTTTCTTAACAGACAACCTGGAATAAATTCAATGCAAAAATTATTAAATTTATAAATTTGTTTTGTTAATGCTGGATAAGAATATCAACTCTTCTATTGCAGAAAGAGCTCACATTTGATACCAGTCTGTACAAAATACTCATACATGATGAGCTTAGTTTCTATAAAAAGAACACCTGTAGTAGGTAGACATCAATAAACAAGGCATAAAAGCAATACATGAACTTTAACAAAAAGAGTTTAATAAAAACTACAGAATCATATCTAAAGGATATGTGTGGATGTGTATATATAAATCTGAACAAATAACTATAACAATTTTTGAATTTTCTTTTAGAAATCTATAGCAAACTATTACCTGTTATACCTAAATACATCATATGCATATAAATCAAAGCAAAATTAGAACTTGTTAATAATTATTCATTTATAATAAAAAATAATGTCTAAACAAAAAAATGATCAAACTACAGCATAAAGGTCATACATATACTTAAGGTACTACAGCATAGTCTTAAAAAGCAAAGTTAATTTTTTTTTTATAAAAGTAAGGGAGAGAGTATAAATGTAATTGGACAAGTAAATGTAAAAGATTATCAATTTGTATTTATTCAAGTTATTTATTAATTTAATAAAAGAAATGAAAAATTCAAATTGATATTTCATAAAATGTAAAAAATAAGATTTAATTCAAAAGTCATTGTTGAAAATGGAAAAAGGGGTTGTTATGGTAAATTTTAAAAAAATTTAATAACAAAATGTGGAATTAATAATAAATCATAAAATAAGATATTTAAAATTTGATTTCTTCATACCTTGTTTGAAGAAGCATACTCAATACATTTATTATTCACAGTTAACAATCAAGTAAGAAATAAGATCTACACTTTAATATAGAAACAAAACCTTACATAGGGACAAAAATTTGGAAAATTTTAGAATAAAATTCAATGTTTTTTTTTACAAAATTTTAAACTACTTTTTTTTACAAATTTTCAAAAACAGGACCCTGGTAAAAGATACTGGTTTGATCCATATTGATTGGCTAATCCATATTTGGCTTACTCTCATAACTATTGAAATTTCAGTCCATTTTACAATATTGTGACTTAATTAAATTTCACTTTTTTAAAAACAAAATTGAGTGCAGTAGTATGTTTAAAAATGTAAAAGTAGTGTTATAACTAACATTAGATAAAAGCTTGTGCTGTCCTTACATAGGGGCCTTAACCTTAGGAATAATTTTTTTTTTAGTTCCTTTTACATTTATTATTTAATAAATATGAACAAAATATTATTATTGAATGTGTGATGTATATGTTAATAGTTTTATTCACATGTTACGGATGTTAATAGTTCACGGATGTTACTACAGATGGAATAAAACTATTAACATTCACGGATGTTAATAGTTTTATTCACATGAACCAAGCTAATGGCAAAAACAAGCAATAACCAAAACCTAGTGAGTCAAGGGATTACAAGTAGCACGATTGTCAATTCTAATATTAAAGAAACCTATTATTCTTTTTCTGGAGCATGTTTTAACCATAAATTTACTGTTTGATAAAACTAGAAAAAAATTTTATTTACATAAATATTAGTCTTAGACACATATATTGCCTCAAGCATATTTATAGAAAATATCTAAAATCGATCAAAGGTCAAAAAATAGAAACAGGGTATGCAAAAGACAGATTATATCTGATCTAATTCAATTGCTGAACTTTTCTATTAAATTACCTCTGAAATTACTTCGACATATATATTGCCTCAAGCATATTTATAGGAAACATCTACAATCAATCAAAGGTCAAACAATAGAAACAGAGTATGCAAAAGATAGATTATATCTGATCTAATTCAACTGTAAAACTTTTTCTATTAAATTACCTCTGAAATAGTAGTCTTTTCCAGTTCTTCGGCAATATCTTCCTCTTCAGATTCCCCCTCTTTTTCATCCTCTTTAGCCTTCCTACGCCTTCTTTTCTCAATTTTGGACCCTTTTCCTTGTGGAGTAATTAGCGTCCACCGTCCTTTTTCCAACTCTAATTGATACAGGTCACTTTGAAATATGCCACTCAAAAGTTCATCCTCATCCTGTTCGTCATGCACACCCCCAAAAGCATAAGCAAAGTTGTTGACAGTAACTGCGACAGATAAGCCACTTCGGGGAGATGGAGGAAGGCCGCTACTTTTAGATTGTACCCATTTCCATTTTTGAGTGCCTGTTCTTTCTAAATTGAAACGTTTTATATTGTTAATCGAAATTTAAAGTGTATTAAAAACATATGAATTATATCATACATGACAAATGAAAGCATGCGTAAAACAGTTATCAACTATTGTGCCAGCAAAAGAAATCTTGGCACAGTAAAATATTAGGTGTTAAAATTTTTCAGAACTTTGTAAAGCATTCTTTTGTAACTAATTGTAAGGGTCTTTTAACCCCTTAATGGACAGATGTTTTGAAGGAAAAAACGGCCCAAAAAATTTATGTAAAAAAAACACACTTTAGAACAAGGTTTCCATTTGTTGCCGCTATTGGTTCAACTTTTCTTATGGTGAAAAATTTTTATAAACTGCGCTTTTGTTCCATGGAAAAAGGCTACATTTTATTCTTGAATAAATAAGTGCTATAGCTTACAATCCTATGTAAATGATAAATATCAATAAAACGATTTTTTTTCTTAGCCTTCACATTATTATTTTCAATTCTCGATTATATTCGAGTGTGAAAAATTATAGCAGGATAAAATACAACGCCGCTCGAATTATCTCAAGCATGCACAGTTCGGCCTGTTTAGCGAGCTCGAATTAACTCGAGCGCACAAGTTAAGGGAAAGTTATGCTGTGGAAGAAATTCCTCATGGCAAATCCTCTATCACTTACACAAACAATTTTAAGGTATAGTAAAAGTAACTTCAGTTAAACCTACAGTAAACTATTAAGTTTCAAATCCTGGAAATCTTTTTTAAATATATCAAAATGCAAACACGTTATGGCAACTTTACCATGAATTATACAGATATTAAATTATCCGGCAATGATTTGTTTACATTTTGATATTTAGAAAACATTTTTCAACATTTGAAACTTCATGGTTAATTCTATACTCACTTGAACTAACTTTTCTATAAGCTTTAAATTTTAAAATATCAAAGCATAGTTGCCAACATTGGAGAAATAAAATAGAGATTTTACTAGTGACATTTTTTAGGCTACAAGTAAAGTGTTTTAATACATTAAGCAACTATTTTATTTTATAACTGGTGCTGAACAGTAGACCCAATTTAGGGCTTACAGCTACAAATGTTCAACTCCGTAGGCTTATAATTTTGAACTCAATCCAGAAGACAAGGGAACTCCTGGCTCCAGTATTGGGAGAAATTTGCTTTCGTGGAAGTATGTTTGGTGAAACTAACCCGAATTTGTGTTACATGGAGGGAGAAATAACAAAAACCTTCAAAGGTCAGTCTGACAGCAAGGGGTACTTAAACTATTAACACTCAACATACTGCAGCACTGTCTATTGAGGAAGGAGAGAAATATTTTTGCCATCAGCAGATATTTTATGGCCAAAAATTATTTTAAAAATTTCTTCAACAAATATGGAGAAATTTGAGAATATACAGGTAAACTGGAGATAGTTGTAAAATACAGGAGTCTCCGTTAAAAAACAGGAGATTTGGCAGGTATGCCAAACGAGGGGTAACACAATTTACCATGTGAGGGAGTATAACATCCTATTGAGGGACTTAATTTCCTTGCTCTTCCTTTTACTCTTTATCTCCAAGTTTTTAAAAAAGAATTAATGAAACATTTATTTAAGATAAACAACAGTGGAATGAAAACTATCATACATAAAAGATGCAAAAACATTTAGGTCAGAAATGAATATTTTACCATCTGCTTGTAAGTAGTACAGGTCTGTATAACTAGTTCCCTTATCGACATCTTTCTTTACACGCTCTCGACTGTAACCTCCATACACAAGTATGCGACCATCTGTAAGAGGAGCCATTAGACAACCGGATCGAGGACTTGGTACTTTTCCTGTGGGCTCAACTTTAGTCCATGTGTAGGTTTCAAGATTGAATATATGAACATCATTGAAATATTTGTAATCCCTAAAAATATTATTCTATCAAAATTAACATGAAAAGCTGTAATTTTCCCACTATTATTTAATTATCCCACAACTCGGGTAATTTGCATGGGTGAATTATAAGGATTTTTATTCATTTTTTTTTATTGATTTTGATGATTTTTATTACTGATTGCACAGTTGTGGCAAAATTAACAATTGCCAAGAATCACTAAAATTCAAGTCTCTCAAAAAAAAAATTTTTTTAAGTAGATTAAGTATTAAAATTAAAAGAATTGATAATGGTTTGAGTTAAAGTTAGATAAGTTGAGTTGAAGTCAGATAAGTTAGAAATATGTTAGAGTTAAAAAATTTCATAATGGTTTGTTATCATAGATAATAACAGACATCTTTTAAATTTATAATAATAAAATAAATTTGAATGACAGAAAAAATTTCCCCTTAAAATACATAATTTTTTACAAATTATTTATTTATAATGTATACAAATATCATAAAACTTAATAGAATTTAATGAAATGTCTAAAATAACTATTAGAGCTATAATCAAAACACTTTTAATAACAAACAGTTTAAAAAATTAAGAACATACAATACTTAAAAAAAATGGCTAATAAAAAAAACATTTTACTTATATTTAGTAAAAATCTAAACAATTACCTTTTGTTTAAAACACTAATTCATTTCATATGACTGCTAAAAATATCATAAATAGAAAGGCAAAATTTAATGGTTTTTATATTTGGTCAGAAAAAAAAATGAAATGTACAATGATTTTATATTTATTTAACATTTTTCTTAGATATGTTAAATAAAAAAAATTTAATAGCAAGAATATAATTTTGCCCTCATTTTTTCTTCAAATGCATTTTTTGATGTTGTTAATTTCAAATTATTTCCTGTCTTTTTAGAATACATTGGAACATCGATATACCACAGTAACAAAGTGGGAGGGAAATTAGGATAAATTAAATCAATGAATCATAACAGTTTACAAAAGCAAACTTCAATAATTTAATACTTCGCTGAATAATTTACATAATAAAGAAATTTTGAAAGCAAAAACAATGCAGTTAATATAAAAGAAATTAATATAAAGAGTTTTCTTATTTATTTTGTAAAAGATTTTTCAAAAAAAAAAATAAATAAATAAAGCAGGTTTAAAAATTAAAAGCAGTATTGATTGACAAACAATAAAATAAACACTTGTTATGTTATAACAAAAATATCTGCTTAAATTAAAATTAAGACACTGTAAATAAACAAAAAAAAGTTTTTTGAAAACATGCCTTCAGCTTATCAAAATGTTCATCTCCAAATACTATTTTTTATTCATCATAATTACATTGTTCTGAACTAACTATGGTTTGAAAGAAAAACACAGTAAAAATCCATTATCTCAACTAAATAAAGAATTTTCTACTCCATTTTTATTCCATTAACTGACAAAGAAATCCATATCATATTTATACTTTTAAAAATTATAATATAATTTATCAGGAAATTTTGAATTTTATAAACAATAAGAAAATAATAATGATGATTTTCTTTTAAAATGCTTTTTAAAAGAAAATCATCATAAACATCAGCATTATAAATATCTAATCATTATAACTTTTCTTTTTTTCTGACAATTTTCAACAATTAATTTTTACACTTGCTGATTTAACAAAAGAAATTTATTTTTGTTTACAAGTTTAATAAAAAAGGATCAAAGTGCATAGCAAAAGCAGTGGATATATATTTGTACCACAACTTTATTTGTCAACTTCTCTGAGAAAAACTAATAAAAATCTTGCACATAATTTTCTTAAAACTGCTTTTAACAGTAATTTTATTGCGTAGAAAAAATGTAGGGTGACCTGGGGTAATTCCTGATCAAAAAATGCAAACATCTATTTTGTGAAAAAACTATTCAAAATAGAATTTTAATATTTACTGGAAGTTTGAGGCTATATGAGATGAGTCCTATGCCACCTTCTTTTGTTTGAAAATCTAATTAGAATTTAAAAGATTTTAAATTTTTAGTGATCAGGAATTACCCCTGGTCTTGATCATTTCTGGGGTAATTCCTGATCACTTCTGGGGTAATTACTGATCACCAGTTTTTATTGTAAAGGGGCTGTTTAAAAATAATTATATAATGGTAATTAACAAATGACATCAAGATCAAACGAATAAACCAAAAAGATATATTTAAGCAGCTAATAAAATGATTTACTTAAAAACAAGAAGAAAGATTAACACTTTAAATTTTCAAAAATCTTTGCATCGTGCCATACATTTTAGGCAATCAGCCAACTCATTCTCATGTTCTTCTGAAATATAAGAGAGTTCCCACATGGGTTACTTTTGCTGGATTTTTTAACTTCATTAAGGGAAAGTGTAAAGTTAAGTAAGGTATGTCAACAGCTCTGGCAGCAGCTCTCACACTGAAATTTTCATTTTCAATCATTAAAAGAAATTCACTAATTTTGTTTTCTAGAAGCTTAGTATCCTTTTTAGGCTTATAATTTCTCACCATATTTATACTAGGCTAATTTATAAACTTAAAAATTATTCTAACAATGTACACACATAAAATTAAGATAGAAGCAAGGTAAGACAAACCAGAAATGGTGCAAATCAGAATACAGTCTTGTATACAGTTAAAAACAAATTTTGTGATGACAGTTAAAATATATTTTATAGTTGTTCCACTTAATAAATATGAACTGTTATTTAAGAAAAGACAATTAGCTATTTATAAGCTATTTTATATACTATTTATAAGAAGAAATGACAATGATCAGGAATTACCCCAGTGATCAATAATTACCCCATCTGTAGGGGGCAACATTTGATATAGTTTCCTATAATCAATTATAATGTTTACAGTAGATGTGAAACAATTAAACAAAAGCTTACACTACTTTTATATCAAAGAAAAAGAAAGTAACTCAAAATATTTATTATTAAGAGAAGGAGGGGGATCTTTGCAGAAATGTGCACATTTTGAAGCCCATCTTTGAAATGGAAAATACAGAAAGCAGTTTAAAAGATACTTATTTTGTTAGATTAAACAAAAAACTATTATTAAGTAAATGTAGTTATACTTTAGTAAAGTGTACAAGCATTCTTGTCCATGTCTCAAATTTTAAAAAAAAAAATTGTTTTTTTTTTTTAAATAAAACTTAGGTGATCATTATTTACCCCAGAAACAGAGTGATCGTGAATTACCCCGGGTCACCCAACAGAAATATTTTTTATACTTAATAAAAAAAATCATGAGTCTTTTATAATAAAAGTAACTTAAAAGATTAATAATACACAAACTGTTGATATACAATATGAATCTTTTAGTAAAACCAATTAATTGGGTTGAGTTATCAGATAAGAGTATTTTTAATCGACTCAATTCTATGGCTTAGACCATTTTTTGCAAAACACTTGTCAAATATTCAAGGATAGATTTTTTAAAACTTTCATTATAGCAATAAACAAAAATGAAAAATTTCTTATACACTATCATATAAATAATGAGCCAATTATTGTATTCTTATTTACCATTTTTTTAATTAATAAAAAAAACTCAAAATAAACAGTTTTATCCTTTCTATTTCTAATTGACCAAATTTAAACGACGCTTAACAGTTAAAATGGCAAAAATATAACAGGTAAAAATAAATAAACATTTACTAATTAAGCTGTAAGCAAAATATTATATAACACATTTGATTAAAAAAATTTAAAATTAAATATAAGAGAAATAGGATCTAACCCAATAATTTCATAAAATCCACCAAACAACACTATTTGCTTTCGACTGACTACCATTCGATGGCCACTGCGGGCAGATGGACCACCTGGTGCCTTCACTTGTTCCCATGTCATGGTTGCAAAATGTAGAACCCATAAATCTCTATAGTGATAAAAACTGCACTTCGTTGGACTTGCGAATTCCCCACCAAAAATCCACATTTGTCCACCATTTTGTGACACAACAATAGCCTAAATTAGAAAAATTAAAAACCATTAGATATTTAAATGAAAATATAATAAAAACTGGAAGAAATACAAATAGAAAACATACAACAAGTAAATCTAAAAAAACATTTTTAACACAAAAATAAGGTCTTATTAAAAATTAATTTCTTTGCAAACTTGCTTTTTTTAAAAGTAGTAAATGCTTCTTTTCCCTCTTTGCTAAAATAAAATCAAACAATAAATTCTTGCTTGAAAACTATTATCCCCATATTATGGCTAGAGAATTAATCTTATATCATGCATTTGAAATAAAAATTTATATAATTTAAATAAATAACAGATTAAATTTAAAAAACTACAATTATAATTGTTGCCAGTTTTTTTTTAATAAAAAATTTAAAGAAAAAAATTTAGCAGAAAAACTAGATAGTGTAAACATTAACAATATCACAAGAACTTTAGATTTGAGAAGATAGATTTAAATAAAATAAAAAAGTAAACAATGCTCAGTGAGTAACACCAAACTCTAAGTATTAGCTATTACAGCATAAAAAGTATGTAATACATGGAAAAATTAAAAAAGAACTTACAAATAAAATGTATCAAAAATGTATAATGACAACTCGGTTTTGCAAATTTTTAAATAATTCATAGAAAACGACTTAAATATTCTATGCATTTCATTCAGAAAAAACAAATCCAAAATCTTTTTTTTTTTTTTAAATTAGAAAACTCATTTATAAATATTCTAGGAAAATCTAGTAAAAATTTTAAAAATTTAAATATGTTATGACTACAAACAGCGTGCAGAAAGATGAACTTCTATTAACTCCCCAAAAAATCAGTAAAATTTTTTTGCTTAATCTCATCTTTTTGAAATAGTTCCCTTGCATAAGTCGTAATCACCCTTCCTTTATAAAGTCAGTTTAATCTTTAATGATTTTGAAGGGTTGGATGATATTAGCAAAATAACAATTATTTCCCGTGGACAACTTGAGAAAATATGTTGAAAGTCAGGTTGATTCTTTAAAAGTGAATTTCTTAAAGAAAAGTGACACTTTTAAAGAAATTATTAATTTATGAAGAAAAAAAATACATCGAGAAAATATCTCTTATGCAAATAATTTTTAGATAATATTTTCTGGTGCAGTGTTTATTTTAATTTTTAAAAAAAACTTTTCAAAAGAAAGTAGATAAAAAAAATCTATTTATCACTCTACTTTAGATAACATGTGATTTACGATAACTTACAACTATTTAACTCTTCAATTATTTTTCTTTTAACTCCTCAAGTTTGAAGACATTGGAATTTGACTGTATAAATACATGAAATAGCAGGATTTAAAATATATTTAAGTACCTGATGAGAACATCGTGGTGGAGGTGCGACTGGACATTTCAAAATGCTCCATTTATCTTTCTTAATATTATATATATACAACTCATTAAACATAGTAGTCTGGAAAAAAAAAATGAAAAAAGCTGTTATTAAATTATGGAAAATGCAAAACACATTTACTCAAGAATAAGCTTATGTATTAATAAAATTAGAAAATAGAATAAGAATTTCAATTGATAACTTCCTATTAAAAATTTTAAATTATTAATATGAAACATTTATGGCTCTTACGGATTTCAATGATAGGTATTTGTTTAGATTTTAATTCATACCTGCGTAAAATAAAAATAATAGAGATTTTACTAGCGACATTTTTTGGTCATGAAGTAAAGTTTTGATACATCATGCATAATTATGAAAGTCAAAAAGAGAAATTCAAAATTGGTATAAACACTTACATTTAGCGAAGTACAAAATATGTATATAAATTTTAATCTAAAGAGGATTTTTTTTAAACCATTATTTATGATTACTTAAACTATAAACGCTCAACATATTGCAGTACTGGCAATCTGTTCAGGAATAAGAGTATTTTTGCCATTAGTGGATATTTTATCGCCAAAATTTTTTTGGTTTTTAATTTCTTCAACAAATACGGAGAAATTTCAGAATATACAGGTAAGCAGGAGATAGCTGTAAAATTTAAGAGTCTTTGTTAAAAAACAGGAGAGTTGGCAGGTATGTTAATAGCATTCAAGCTTGAATGGCTCATTCAAGAAATAAAGAATATAAAGTGTTATGTTTTACATAAATGTTCATTACATCATGCAAGCTGCAAGGTCCTTGTTATTAAAAGAACTAGATAAATTGAAGAATTGACTGCATAAAATGAAAAAAGTTTGAAAGTTAAAATCATTACTTTAAAACTCAGTGTTAAATTTCCACTTGCCAGTTCTCCATTGGCGACCAAATATTTACAACTAGTGAGTAAAAACAAATGTTTGACTCTAGTGTAACAAAGTTTGACACAAGAATAACAGAGTCACACTAGGGCTGCAATCGACAAATGGTATTTCTGATATTTTTCCTATTTCAAATAATTTTCAATATGTGAATTAAGGCATATAAACCTCAAAAGTGTTTAATTTTGTTTCATATAAATTAATATTATAAAAGTTATAATAATACTAAATAGTAATGCATTTATAATTATGAGATACATAATTTCGTTAAACTTGTTAAATAATACTAATTTGTCTGATTTTCCAACAACAAAAATTTTCATAGTGTCTTGATATTTCTGAAAAAATAATCACCTTTCTTTTTTTAATTTAGCTTGTAGCAATTAGAATTATCAGTAACATGCCTATTAGTTAATCAATGAAAATATAATGTAACAATAATAAAATGTTTTTTTTTAAAAAAAGACAATGCAATTAGCCTAAACTTTTAATTACATAAATTTCCAATTTATATAGACACCATATATGCATTCAAGTTGATGCTTATTCCAATTACACTCAATTCATATACCATACATTTTCAAACACAAGTTAAGAATTTTCAGAACATTTTTGAAAGCTTAAGTCGGGGGGAGGGGGTTGACTTATAATTGGATCCACTAACTTTGAAAAATTCCAGGAGGACATTGAAAGGGGTACATTTTTATTTCCAAACAAAGCATACCTTGTTTTTTTTACGATGGCTTATATACAAGTTTTAAATTTTAAGAGAATCACCAAACATAAAGCTTACCCTTTAGCTTATATTCAGAAACATATGGTATTATTTTTTAAAATAAAAATAACTCAGATTTTTTTTAATAAAAATACATAGCCTCTTTCAAGCATAGTGTTCAATACTATATGCCATCAAAATAACCAAGGTGCATACAAAGCAAGCTGTATGTAAAATCTCTTATAGCTAAAAGTAAATTGATGTCCGGTTAAATTGTTATTTAACCGGGCTAAAATGTATCAGGAACTAAAATTATTGTTATCAAATAATCCTGATAAATTAAGCTAGGTGATTGGCCACGGTTTAGTGATGTATAAAGATATGAAATAATGAGTATCAGGATCATAACTTTTTCTGAAGTACTTAAAACAAATGCAGAAAAAGAATAGTTTTGAATTTTTAACAATCAATTAAAAAAATTTTAAAACAGCACTTATTTTATACTTTTGAAATCAGAAACTTACCTCAGAGCCATTAAAATATTCACCTCCAAACAATATTAATTCATCTTTATCAGGATGAGGACAAAGAGTAAAACCACTCCTGTAAAATATTTACTAAAATTAACAAAAAGAAATCAAGCTTAGAAGCTAAATTTACTAAAATTAACAGAAGGAAACAAAACTTGACTGATATGTTACACATTAACAGTAATAATTAAATGAAATTTATAATATTGTAATCTTAACAAATTTGTTATTTTTTTTTTAATTTATCAATATCTGTTAAATTTAGCTATTGATGGGTACAGGGTAAGGTAAAAAAGAACAATAATAGTTATTCATGAGAAATACAGTTGAACCTGTTTATCTCGAACCTCTTTCTCTCAAAAACCTCTATATCTTGAAATTTTTTAAATTCCCTACATTTACTGTCTAAAATAAATGTATTTTCCATGTTTATGTCGATTTTTTTTTCAAAACCTCCATTGCTCGAATTTCTAATAAGAGCACAAATGCCAAAACTATCCTTATCAGCAGAACTCGTAGACAAAGATTAATGTCTTGAATCCACAGGAAGTAAGGACGGATGAACAGGTTGGGGGTGTTTCTTGGAATTTCAATCACTATCCCAGCACTTCCTTAACTAGAAAGGAATACAATGATTCTGGCAGTAAGTGAGGGGTTAATGAATAGTGACCATCAAGGGTTAGCTTTTCAACATAGATAAGAAAGCTAAGAATAGAAATTCATTTTCACCTCAAAATTGCAACCAATGGATCAAAGGATAATTAAGAGTTCTAAAGTGAACTATAGAAAACGATCTATGAGGAATTTGCGATCTTTCTAACCTCAAAAGAATAATTGAAACAACTAAGGTTATCAGTCAAAAATCTTACTTATTATTTTCAGTGTTAAATGTATGTTAAAAAACTGTTATGTAAATAGATGTATGTGGTATAAATAATTTAAAGAAATGTCTATATTTTTCTACTAAAAACAAAGCACTTTTAATCAAATTTCTTAATTAAATTTAATTTCTTTATAGTACCTGTATAACTTGAAACCTCTCTATCTCGAATTTTTCACCTTTCCCGTGAGATTAGAGATAGACAGGTTCGACTGTATTTAAGAAAAATAAATAAATAAAAACTGACTAACAGCTAAGTTAGTAAAAAAAAGAAAAACTAAAATAGTAAATTGAAAGAAAAAAAAGAAATAGAAAGAAAGAATATTTTTTATTCTCTTTTTTCTATTTCCTTTTTTAGGTTTTTTAAGTTGTTCAGGAATAAAAAAATATCATACATATTTACTGCATCTATATTTTATAGATCAGTAAAAAATAATTTTAAAATTTTTTTTCACTTTTTCAAACTTAGTAACATATTTATGATATAAAATATGTTGCATTAAAATTAAATAAAGTAATTAACCAAGTCTAATGCCATTGTGAAGAGGAGGAGGAAAAAATCACGAAGGTACTTTGATAACACACAAACTATATTTACCTGAAAAAAAGTAAACTGATATTAGATTTGACCTAATTGGAATTGCTATTTTAATATTTATTTTTGAAGATTTTTATTTCATTTTATTGACTACCATAATAGTTTTGATCGATTATAACACATTCTAAATTTCTATGAAAGTTTTATTTTATCTAAAATATTAAATAAAAATTTAAATTTGTGTTTTTAAAAAGACGGCAAGGTATTTGGCACAGAATCAGCTTAAATTTATTAAATTTTTTTTGCTTATTGCTATTGTTTTTACCAATTCATTGAGCGATAAGAAGTTATCCAGTAAGTCTCAAAAAATTTACGAAAATAATGAAGTAATTTAAAATTAGTAAAATAGTAATCTTATTTATTAAATCAAATAAAAAATTAAAAAATATAATATAAAAAAAAACATTCTCAAGATATAAAAAAATTAGTACCTAGGAGATGGTTGAGAACAAGGTTCAATAGAACTAGCTTGGATTTTCTTGTCTTTCTCTTGAGATTTAGCAATTAATTTTGCTATGTCAACCTGAAATGTATAATTATATATAAGTACTAATAAAGAACAAAAAAGTTTTTTTGAATATTCATAATCCTAATATTATAAATATTATTAAATTATATTTTTAGGAAAATTACGACTAATTTAAAAGCATGCCTCTCCTTTTTCTCCAATATACATCAAAACTATGCAAGCCTCTGCAAACCAGAGGTGAATCTTGAAATGTATACAACATACATCACAAAACTATAAGAATTAGAAACATACATCATGAATATAAATTATCGATATGGTTGTCGTTGTGTATTTTATCGAACGTATTTCATGCATATTTTTTTTTTTGTACTTTTGCCATATTTACAAAATAAAAAAAGGATAAATACTCATATTAAAGTTTTGGAACATCTAGTTGAAGTGCTGTCGTCTCACTATATACAGCCCTGGTATTACCCTTACCCTGGTCATAAAGGACTTAATGAAATAGTTTTCAGGTTTGAGAAAAACGCCATAATGCAATTAAAAAGTAATTCCTCAATACAATATAGAATAGCACTAATGTAGTGAAATCGGGATTTCATCGGTACGCACTGTTTAAAAAATATACCGGTTCTAAAAACTTCCTAAGTTTAATGATTCCTTATTATCATTTCATGAATTACTTGAAACTTACAAAGTACATAAATATTGAAATGAAATAGCATGCTGCTAAGTTAAATGTTTTTACTTTGGAATCCTGCATTTTTTTTATTTAGGATTAAAATCTAAGAATAACATCACACGAACTTTATCTTTTCTAACGAAGTTTGCAGATTTTAAAGCCCTAATAAGAAAACGAAATAGAAAAGCAAATTTTCTTGAAAATAATGTCATCACAAACATATGCACATGGTAATATTACCTCGCCTTTGGCAGCTAAATCTTTTTTCAAGCTTTTCAAAGCTTTCTTTTCAGTTTTGAGAGCAGTTTTTTCTGCACCCTTCCCCTTTTTCTTATCTTTCTTACCCATTATACTAGTATTTAAATAAAAATTTTAAAACTAAAATTTGCAAACTGCACCGCAGTCGTGTTCTGAAATTTTTAAATAAACAAACAAAAAATTGTGAAAAAAGATTAGATTTTCGCTTGTAATCTCAACAAAACCTGAAACCTGGTGAAGGTCTGATCGACTAAAGCTAAGTGTAGATGGCGCTAAAAGTTAAAATTCTGCATGAGACTTCCAGGTCACTACTTCCGACTGATTTTTACGCCTAACTTTTAAAAAAATGCATCTTCCAATATTATTAAACTTCTTACAGTGTTTTCAATCTAACGCGCTCTTGCAATCTATCTTTCAACGAACAAACAAATTCGGAAGACTCCGCAAATTTGCTATGATTCTACACAAAAAATAACAAACGGTGCTATTTTACACCAATATAGCCAAATAGGGATAGCACTTCAAACATGGCTCAATTTGCACTTTATTTATGCTGTGATATTAATTTCGTTAAGTTTTTTTTTATGCTCAAGACCTGTTGAACTTTATAAATTACAGAAAACTCTTATAAATTGTAAAATTACGAGTAAATTTAAACGCAAATCACAATAAAAAAAACTTTTTTAGAATAATAAGCCTGTTCACACTTCGCCTCGTAAGTCGTAAGCATAACATAAGCGGAGGGATACACAGGATATTTTTTTTAAATTTCTTCCGGCTTTAGTAAACTCGTTATTGTTAGCATTCAATCAACCATTCATAAGATCTGATTACAAATTTCCATTCTCATCGAAGACAAGACTCCATTCTTTATCTTTACCCTCTTTTAATTTGCGCTTACTTAGGTATACCAAAGTATACAAATATATTGTCATAAAATAAATTTAATTGTTAGATAAAATAATTGTTTAGGTATACCAATATATTGTTATAAATATTTTTTAATCTGCTGAATTTAGGTCAATTGTTGACTGGAATTAAGTAGAAGAGGATCAAACACACTTGAAAACCCGGTATTTGATTAGATTTCAAACAGTTTTAGACAAATAATAACGTTTAGTCTCTTGGCTCTATATTCCCTTTATGAAAGGGGGGGGAGAAGATCCTATGAGGGGAAAATGAATTTTCTACAATAAATGAATATAGCACATGTTACATCTAAATGATATATATAGCTTTATCTTCTCCTAATAAGAGAATATATATAATTTTGAAACATGGCCTGATATATTTTTAATGGGCTACAGGTGGCTCAAAGCAGTACTCTCTACATATGGCAACACTTTGCATGATTTTACCATCAGCGTGTGGATAGTCATAGGAGAAGAAAGTACGTTAGTTTCTGTTTCAATTTTCAAGTATATTAATTTTAAGTTACGATAACATATGGAACTCAAAACTGCACTATACATTGTTCTTTTGGAAAGCGTCTTGAAACATTTAGAAGATATATTTGACAATTAAAGGCGAAAAATATGGTAGGGTCAAGACAAGGAAACGGTCTTCTGTCCAGATAGCGTATTCGAGTGTTGTGATTCGAATGCATCCTATGCAAAACCATGGAAATAACTTAGCTTGATTCTCATTAAGCAGCCAGAGTTCTCATTATTTAGTATGAGGAGCCGAAAAGCTAATCCTTAGATAGCGAGTTCGATTCACGGTGTGCACATATGATACACCGGCGTATCATGTGTAAAAAAAAGGTGGATTATTTGGTGATATTTTTTCTTCTTCTTTTTATAACGAAGTTAACATTTTTTCACCTATTTTTTACTCTGGGATAATTTTAATAAAATATTTGAAATTTTTGCACTTTATTCCCCTTTATAAAGAAAGAGTCGGGAAGCTATGAAAATGTTCACAAGTGTTCTTATTTTTCTTCCGCATATTTATAAAGATCTATATTCTTTTTTTTTATAGTAACAAATATTTTTCAAACTTTTCCCTTTTTCAGTACAAGTCTGATCGTTAAGACACGGTTCCCAGCAGATCATCGAAGTCAAGCATCACTGGCTGCGGTCAGTGTGCGGCGTAGGGACCGAGGGTGTGCGGTATTGGTCCTCGTTAAACTGTGCTACCGTAAAGCGCTCGACTTCGCGTGCAGGTCGTTGGGACATGTTATGTGGTATGATAATAAATAAACGCCAAACCGACCACTTGGATCAGTCTGCGTAGGGACCGAGGGTGTGCGGTATTGGTCCTCGTTAAACTGTGCTACCGTAAAGCGCTCGACTTCGCTTGCAGGTCGTTGGGCGACCGAAGCGGGGGTCCCACCCCCCCTGCAGAGGATCAAAATTGTGATGGCATGTCTTCGGATCATCCTCAGGGATGTTTCCCAGACCGTCGCCAATAGCCCATTGTGCAGCTCTAGTGCGACGTAAATGAACTACAACAACAACAACAGTACAAGTGAACGCACGAGTCTAAGTCGCAAAATTATAGATAAATAAGTACAGGCACAAGTCCCAATTTTAATGGCAATATTCCCTTTATAAAAAGAGAAAGTAGCTCATGTTATAAATATACATAAAGGCTCATCTCTTCTCTCAATATTAACATGTAATTTTTGTGCTTAGTCAGATACTCTTATAATGTACGAAACTACTAAACCTGGCCACAAAATTATGTATGAATTCGGGGCCACACTATGAGTCATAATATGGAACCATTACGAGACCAATGGAAAACCGCGAAAATGACTAAGAAGCTTGATTTTCGTTAAGCAGCCAGCTGATCATGTTATGTGGTATGATAATAAATAAACGCCAAACCGATAATCTCAGGTAGGCCACAAGTAAATCTTATCAAATGGTGTCATATATAAATTAAAATGCAAATTTTTAGCTAGTAATTTTTTTATTAGAGAATAATTAGTTTCTCTTTTTATATCTGAATTAAAACTCTTTTCTTACAGTGTGGTAATTTTAATAGAATATTTTAAATTATCGCTCTCAATCTTTCTCTTTTTTTAAACAAAAAGCGCCAGGACACTATGTTAGATATCTGAAGTCTTATATATTTTGCTTTTATATTACACATAATTTTCAAACCTTCCCCATTTGCTGTTTCAGTATAAATAAACGCAAGGCCAACTCGCAAAACTAAAGAAGAATTCGTTGGGACACAAGAGTTTTAATTTTAATGTCAATATTTTTTTTCTTTTTTTTTCCGTATTCGGTTAGAGAAATGGAATCTTTTTCTTCTGTTCATTGTATTAGCCCTAGAGTGAAGAAAAACTACCCTCTCTGAAATCCGCTATTCTTCTTTCCATAGCATCAGACTTAGTGGTGGGGAGTCCCTACCTTAGACAAACCATTGAAACTATATATAAATTTATACCTGTTTCCCTAAAACCTATAATTTTCCTGTTTTTATTCCCACTGACGTGAAAATGTTGATTCATCGTTGAAAACTAAGCAAAGAGCAAAATCCTCATTTTCAACCACTTTGGGTGGAAATGGATGTGTGTCCTGTGACTAAAGGGTCACACATAGAACATCTGTGACTATCTCTAACAAAAAAGATGATGCTATACAATTCTGTAGCAAGTAACATATCATGTCTTACATCGTTATTGGTTTATATAGTTCTTTATGACTTATTCTGTATGGCCCTCATAGCAAGGAAACCAAATTGTCCTAAAACGGTAAAATGTGATAATTAAAAAAAAGTAAAAATCTATTAAAAGATATAAAAATTTGGAAACTTTTCCTAGTATATTTCTTTTAGTTTAATATTGTATGTGACTACACGGAATATTTTGTACCAATTTTTTACATTTTTAGTCGCCTGTGACTACCTTGTATAGGTTTATATACATATGTATAGGTTAATACATAATGTATAGGTTTATATACATAAGTGTGCGTATAGGTTTAAACACCTGCCTGTTCCTTTGAAAATAACTGAGCAAAAAAAGAAAAATTGACCTTAACGTATTATTTATCTTAACCTTTTAAAACAGGATGTAATTTGAGAGTATCTATTTCTGTTTCATGAAAGGCTCAAAACGTAAGAGGTGGTGAGTTAGTTACATTGTTATGATCATTAAACTGAGAAATTTAGGATAAAACTGGGGGGGGGGATTTTTCTTCTGATTTTTGTTGTACGAGGTTTTTTAAAGGATCTGGAATATTTTTTTGTGTCGCTGATTTCAAATCTCCATTAGGTTTCTCTCCACATGCAACAAATTGTATGCAATTTAATAATATATTCCTAACCAGGATTTTTTTCATCTCCAGTGACAACTAGGTGTTCCCATTTTTCGGCTACGTAGGGAGTGGTAAAAAGAAGGTGATAATACATTTCAGTTTATGATATACATGAAGATCATATATTTTTTGTCTTCAGCGTTGTTTTCAAAGGAGCAGGCAAGTGCATGTCTATGTATATACATATATCTATATATCCTTTATAAACTTGTACATCATGACAAAAAAAAAATTTAAAAAAAAATAAACTAAATTAAAAATATCATTTTGAAATTAGTCTGAGATTTTCTGAACAAAACTAATTTTAGATTTGAAATCCCCACACACGAATTAGGTAAGATCAAGCACTTGTGTAAATGCAACAAAAAAATTACATCTGAGTGTCATCATGCCGTCTAGATAAAATACATTATTAACTTCACAATCATTTTTATCTCTGTTACGAAGCAAACAAGGATATGTTAAACCTTTTCAATTAATTTTTATTTATTAATTTTGAAAAAAAATGCCTAATTTATATGAAAATCTAACGAGGTCCTGACTGTTCCATTTTATTTGAGGTCTCGCAGAAAAAGAATTCTTATAAAATCTGGCAACGGCTTTACCGAACCGTTTGGTTTTCTCTCGTTACACAATCACTGAGTATTTTTAGTTTCAGGTATTGGAACAATGCATACTTAATTCACGTATAGGTCAAGGATGGGTGAATTCCTACTCAAGGAACGTTCATAAGCATATTCCGGTCAATTTTTACTCCCCCTTCCTGTCAGCAAAAATAAGCAGCTCTTATTCCCTCCCATCTTCACTTATGTTTTCGACTTAACTTTGTCTATTACAATAGAAATCTAATTTAAGGCTTAAATTCAAGTAAAAGATGTAACTTTGAAACAAAATGTGTGTTACAATTCTTTTTAAAATACTTTGAGTTGAATATTTAAATATCTTTTATGTTTCCCTTCTGTGGTCAGAAATCTTGACCTCTGATGTTTCTTGAAGAAACTTATTTTTCCAACTTTTTCTTCAGCCAATATTAACTTTTATTTCACGTTTCAAATCTGAGTTATTTGTAAAGGGTAATTTTTTTTTTTACAAACTTTTTTGTTTCCTTTCATTTAGTTAAATTTTTTTTTTTTTAAAAAAAAACTTGAAAGTAAGAGGTTTTTTAATGAATCAATTACTTATTGTTCATACTTTCTCCCTCCTCTTTGTCAGTAAGATTAAGTTAAACTCGAAATCGCTTTCCTGTTTTTTTAACTGTAACGTAATATTTGACCGGCCTAAAGAAAAAATAATAGAAGAAAAAAATACATTTCTCTTGTTTTTATCTTAGGGACGGTTTATTTATGATGCCATTCTATCTTCAATATCTTTGACCGGTTCCGTTGTGGATCAGGTAATAGTGCGTTGGCCTTCCAATGAGGTGAGCCGGGTTCGAATCCCAGCGATGGCCGGTCGATACGAATTCCGCAACCAGCAAGCACCGACCACTGTGCTGACTTAAAAACATCCTCAATGGTAGACGGATCATCGGTTAGAGTCCCCTTGCCGTCTGGCTAACCATCGGAGGCTGTTGCAGAATGATTCAGTGGTGAATGGGTGCATTAATTAAAAGAAATCATATTTAATAACAAACAAATTTAATAATAGTAACAATAAAAAATATATGATACGAAAAGGGGCTCTCCAATGAGCCATCCAAATCAATCCATTGCCTGCCACATAAGTGTTTACAGAATTATATGAGTGAGCGATTACAACGCCCTCTTCTGGTCAGGCAGAAATTTGCAACACTCCCCACCTGAACTCTTTTGAGTTCACTTACCATAAATTTGCAAAACAAAATTTTTTCAAGAACAATATTAGTTGAAATATAAAAATTTTATCCTTAGCAGAAATTTGCAATAATAATAATTAAATGAATGTTCAATAATAAAGATAACAATATAAAACAATCAATTATAACATATGCATATAATCAAAATATATATTTTACACATTGCAATAAACATTTTGTTTAAGGATTAATTTCTAAATTACTTACAAGTTGAACAGAGCGTCTTATATCTCCTTTAGGGGTTTTTATCAAAAGAGAACGAATGTTCCCATCTCGCCCCTGATACACTTCCAAAATTCTTCCCAGCATCCACATATTTCTGGGATAACGCTCATCATTGATTAAAACAATATAATTTACCTTAAATGATGTTATCTTACCTGGTGGTGAAGAAATATAAGCAGATCTTAGATGAAGTAAATATTGCTTCCTCCACCGGTTCCAGAAATGATCCAATAGTGTTTGTTGGTATTTATACCTTTTAGTTAATGAATCTCTATTTACAATCAAATCATTAGGTTTATACTTAACAACAGGTAAAGACATCAATCTTTTACCAACTAAAAAATGAGAAGGTGTAAGTGGAGAAGGTTCTGAGGGTTCGTTATATAGATACGTAATAGGCCTCGAATTTATCATGGCTTCAATTTCCAAAAAGACAGTTTCTAATTCTTTAAGAGTTAGAGAAGATTTACCAATAATTTTCTTTAAACAAGTTTTAACAGTACGTATCTGTCGTTCCCAGAAACCTCCCCACCATGGACTTTTTTCTACAATAAATTTCCAAACAATATTTTTAGATGCAAACATATTTTTTACCTGAGGATCATTAATTTGATTCCACCATTTTTTCAGTTCATTATTTGCCTTTTTAAAGGCTTTTGCATTATCTGAATACAAAATCGAACACAATCCTCTACGAGAAATAAATCTTCTAAATCCCAATAAAAAAGAATCAGTATTCATATTAATAACTAGCTCTAAATGCACAGCTCTAGTAACTGCACAGGTAAAAATTAACAAATAACACTTATTATTAGAGTCAGTAACAAAAAAAGGTCCAGCAAAATCTACACCAGAAATATCAAAAGGAGGTTGTTCTTTAATTCTGTCAGGTGGTAACGGAGCTACCACTTGAGTACCAGGTTTTACCTTATAACGTCTGCATATTAAACAGTTTCTCAAAACCTTTTTGACAAATTGTTTACCTTTGATTATCCAATATTGTTCCCTTAAGTGAGTTAAAGTAGAATCTACACCTAAATGACCTATTTTAACATGAGCATCTAATATAACTAATTCAACAAATTTATCATTAGAAGGAAGTAGTACAGGATGTTTTGTTTTCACATCATCGCTTGAGAACTGCAAACGTCCCTGTAAAAATAAAAGATTATCATCATTAAGTTTACAATTGAGATTGAAAATTCGTGAATGTTTACTCAAAGTATTTTGAGAGAGGAGTTGTTGGATTTCACTCTCGTAATGCAAGAGTTTAACAGTTTTAATCCAGGAATGCAAAGCATTCTGAAGTTCAAAAGCACTAATAGGTCCTTTCAACTTCGAAGAATTTGGCTTGGCATTATGGGCAAACCTTTTTACCCAAGCTGTTACTCTCAAAAGTCTAGTAAGATAGCTGTACTTGTTAATATCAATAAACTTTGTAAGAGAAATGTCAAAAGTCTTGTTTTGAGTCAAAGCGTTCACCACAACAGCTCGTTGTTCTTTCTTGACCACATCACTGGCATCAGGCTGGTTGCAAAACTCTACTGCAGGCCACAAGTTGACCGGATGGGACAACCAAACTGGACCGGACCACCACAGGGAACTCGACACGATTTTAACTGCAGATTCTCCCCTTGTAATGAAATCAGCAGGATTTTCCACACCGCTGCAATGGTTCCAACACTCTGGAAGCGTAAGTGTCTGCACTTCTGCCACTCGATTAGACACAAATGGTTTCCAAAGCTTTGAAGATCCTTTTATCCAGTGGAGAACTATTTTAGAGTCACTCCAATAGTATATTTGTTGAGTGAAATTAGGAAAAACGTTTCGTAAATATTTCCCTAACCTAGCACCGACGAGAGCTGCCATCAGTTCCAATCTAGCCAAAGTCAAAGTTTTTAATGGAGCAACCTTGCACTTAGAAATAATGAATTTAACTTCAATATGTCCTTCAATTGGTGTATAACGAAGGTATGCCACGGCTCCGTAAGCCTTAGGACTTGCGTCAACAAATATGTGAAGAGAAACATCACTAATATCCGCCGTTGAACATAGTTTTCGTTCTATTATAACATAATTGTCCAAATCAGCAATTTCAGAACACCATTTCTTCCACTTTTTTACCAAATCGCTAGGTAAGTCTTCGTCCCACTTTAGACCTCGCTCCCAAATTTCCTGCATAATTATTTTAGCTCTAACTACAAATGGACTAATGAATCCACATGGATCAAAAATTTTAGAAATTATTCTCAACACTTGTCTTTTGGTGGTTCCTGATTCCAAGGAAAACCTTAACTCCTTTAAATCTAATTTAATTTTATCTTCAATAGGATCCCACTTTAATCCTAAGAAACCTGCTCCTTGCCCAAAATCAGTGTTTTCCTCATATCCGTTTTTACGCCAAAGTTCATTTAGTTCCATACAATTAGTTTTTAATTTCCTTAAATTAAATCCGGCGGCGCGTAATATTTCAATTGCCGACGAAGATAATTGATACGCATCCTGAATAGTTTTAGCACCATAATACAAATCATCTACGTATAGAGAATTCAACATTTCATAACAATTCGGTTGATCTACCTTAAATTTCCTAATATGAAATTTTAATACGCAAGCAAGAACAAATGATGACGTAGTTAATCCGAAAGGAAGGCGATTAAATTGAAGTATTCTTTTTGAATTATCTGTTTCATCCGAAAACCATAAAAATTTTAGATAATTTCTATCCTCTTCCGCAATTTCTATCATATGATAGGCCTTTTCCAAATCTCCGCAAAATGCGACTTGATTTTCTCGAAATTTAAGAATTATATCCAATAAATTTGGATAAAGATTAATTCCCGATTCAAGAGAATCATTCAAAGATTTCTTATTGTCATTTGCCTTACTACTACAATCGTAAACAATACGAACGCGACTTGTTTCTTTGTCATTCCTAATTACTGCACGATGAGGCATAAAATATCCTGAATTTAAGTTTTCATTTACACTATTCCCAACAATATTGCATTTTATTTGTTCGGAAACAATTTGTTTATACTGATCTAAAATCTCGGGATTTTTATTTAATTTATTCTCTAACGAATCAAAACGCCTTTTTGCAACTTCATAATTAGAGTCCATTTCCAAAGGGGGGCCTAAATTATCCTTCCACATTAATTTACATACGTAACGTTCTCCATTAAATCGCAAAGAATCCTCGAAATTTTTTATCAATAGATTATCCTTTTCAGAAAGACATATTTTCTCATTCGGAAACTCTTCTATTTCCCAAAATAGCTTAAGATCAAATAAAATAGAAGTAGAGTCCATAGTTAAGCATACATTCTCACAACTTTCGGCTGAGTCATGACCCAATTTATTATACCCAGAAAGTAACCATCCGAAATGGGAATTAATTAAACTTACATCTTCGTTTAATTTCATCCTTTCATTATAAACAATTCTCCAAAAAATACCACTCCCTATCAATAAATCGCAATTCGTGGTGTGAAATGAGTCAGCGAGTTCATATCCTTTAGTTTTTAACTCATTCATTAAGAGAGCATCTGGCTTGTTCAAGGTTAAGTTCGAAATGAAATGTGTTACTAAACATTCGATTTCGATCCACTTAGAGCTATTACTTTTATTTATGAGCTTTAAAGAAATTACAGGATATTCTTTTTCGCATGCTTTAGTTTGGCCGAAAGAATAAATTGCTAATTTTTCATAGCGTACGGGTTTTAATTTTAATTCCTTAGTTAATTTCGAGCTTATAAAATTCCTATGTGACGCATTATCCAGAATGGCGTTTGCCAAAATCGAATTTTTATCCGAACAAGCTAATACAGAACATGTTTGTAGAAAAGCTTTATCTTTGCAAAATATATTATTGTGTGAAACAGAAATATTCTCTACATTGATTTTTGAGTTAGACTGATATTTATTAGAGTTAGTATCGTTTTCCGAATCTTTCGTTTTTGTTTCATTAGCTCTATTTACATAATTTTGTGGTTTAAGAGTTTTCCTACAAACTGATTCGTGATGGTATTTAGAATTACATATTTTACATACAATTCCAGATCTACATAATTTACTGTAATGGTTTCTTTTGAAACAAACCCAACATCGTCCGTCAGACATAAGTTTACCAATTTTTGTTTCAACATCCAATTTTTTACAATCAACAGAATCATGCGAATTTACCAAACCACAAAAAATACAAATATTTTTTGACTGAGTATGCAAAGTTGAGGCTGTTGCTACGTTTTTAGGTTTAGAGTAATTCTTTTGATAAGTTTGTCCGCTTTGATAATTTTGAAAGGGGGTACGTTTAGATTCGTAATTTTTGGGGCTACTCATTACAGATTCACAAATTTCTCTAGACTCGACCTCGTTCCTTAAAAATGTCATTATTTCCGAAACTTCACAATTTTTATTTTTATCACGTTTCCTATGAAATTCTAAAACTAATTCTTGGGGCAATAATTTCAATAACAATGGGTTTAATAAATGACCATACGATCCCTCGGTAACATTTAAAGCGCGTAAATTTCTTATGTTTACCTCTATTTCATCATATAGTTTACGCAAACCTTTAACATAAGATGAGTTTCTAACCGGCTCCAAATTTAGTAATTTAGTCATATATGAATTTATAATGAAATCTGTTCTACCATAACGCTGTTTTAATAGTTCAATGCAAGAATCGTAATTTTTATCGTTTAATTCGAATCCAGCAACAACATTATAGGCGGGGGGAGAAAGAAGGGATTTTAGGTACTGAAATTTTTCAATTTTAGAAAGGGAATCATTTGTACCTATCGCGCTATTAAAGCAGTTAAGGAACTCCGTGAAATTGGAATCACCAGAAAAACGAGGAATTTCTAATTTAGGTAATTTAAGGGCCGAAAAGGTGTGTTCTACAGTTTCAGTAGAAGTATTATGACTTAATTCAGCTACATGATTTATTTCCTTGTTCATTTCTTTAATTTTACTTTTTAACTTTATTTTAGTTGAAATAATTTTTTCATCGTACTCTTCTGATACCTTAATTTCAGTTTTAAATTTTTCTGGATCCGTAATAAGGTCTTCTATATCCGAATCATGTTTTTTAAGAATTTGTTCTTTAGTTTCTAAAAGTTCTAGCAGTTCTTCAAGTGGCGTATCAGTTTCCGCTTGCTCTTCCAAATTTATTCTTTTAATTAATTTCGTTATACCGCTTCTTACACTGCTTCTTTTTTCTATAAGTTTATTAATCTTATCCATTTTCAAATAGTAATATATATAATATATAAGTGATAAAGTCTCCTACCGTGCAATCCAAATCCAAATAATGTAAATCCAAATTCAATAATGCAATAGTCCAATTATGCAATAATGTCCCAGTTTTGCAAGATCGGGAATAGTTATACACCGATATTGTAATTCCTCTTTGTACTAACAACCTTTTGTCGAACAGTCCAATTTTTATTTTAGCGATATTCGCGGACGTAATGCACCATGTTGCAGAATGATTCAGTGGTGAATGGGTGCATTAATTAAAGAAACCATATTTAATAACAAACAAATTTAATAATAGTAACAATAAAAAATATATGATACGAAAAGGGGCTCTCCAATGAGCCATCCAAATCAATCCATTGCCTGCCACATAAGTGTTTTTAGAATTATAATGAGTGAGTGATTACAACGCCCTCTTCTGGTCAGGCAGAAATTTGTAACACACGTTAAATCTGTCGAGTCACAAAGTCCTTCATGTTCAAATAACAAATCAAACTTCTGGGGGTACTGGTTCAGTAGTTTCCTTGTCTTTTGGAATGGTTCAAAATTACAAGGCTACAGAGTTGAACTTTAGTAGTCGTAGACCCAAAAAATTGGGTCGGCGGTTCAACGACGGTTATAAAACATTTTTGACCCAGCCGTGGTGGCTCAGGGGATAGAGCGTTCGCCTTCTAATGAGTTGAACCGGGTTCAAATCCCAGCGATGGCTGGTCGACACGAATTCCGCACCCGGCTAGCACCGACCACTGTGCTGACTTAAAAATATCCTCAGTGGTAGACGGATCATGGGTTAAAGTCACCTTGCCGTCAGACTAACCGTGGGTGTTTGTCGCTGTTATCTTCTCCGTGTAACAGATATGAGAATCAGTTCCATCAAAAAGACCTACACGATGGCAAATTTCTCCCCAGACTTGATCCAGGAGTTCCCTTGTCTTCTGGATTGGGTTAAAAATTTCAAGGATACGGAGTTTAACATTAATAGTCGTTCAGGCTATGACGCTTATCGTCACTTATCGTTCCATTAGTACACAGAACCTTAACAAAATTAAATAAGCGCTCTTGAGTTAAGTCGTAAGTACGTGCCGAAAGGTTAATCAGGAGTTTATAGTCCAATTTTGACCTAATATGTGACCTTTATAAAATTTAGCAATAGTTATATCAAATAAAAAAAACGGTATAATATATATAAGATCCGATATAGAGAAGAAGTAGGGTGTGCAGTCCAGAAACGATTTGAAATGCAGTATGGGTAAAATCTCTCCATATAAAATAGTCCCTTTTTTATATATTAATTAAAGTATTTTATTTTAACAATATAAGATAATAACTTTAAATAAATGTAACAGTTTTATTATAGTGGAATATACCTAATTATTTATTGCCTGCACCATCGTATCCAAAATTGGGTCAGCTGCTCAACAACGGTTATAAAATACTTTTGACCCAATCCTTGTCACGAGTGTCGCCATTTCTAGCCCACACTACAGGGGCTGGACGAAATATGGAAACACTTCTATACTAACTATACATAAACAATCATTTCTTTTATTAGCAAATATTTTGAAATCTTTTACAGGGTAAAACTATCGGCACAATTTCAAAGATCGAACTGCAAGCTTTTAGAAATGGTGCCATGTTTACCCATGCAAAATTTGGATCGACCAAAATGTGGAGAGGAAGTTAACCTTTTCGGGACAGGCGAGTCATAAATGTATTCATACGGAATCAGAATAGTAAAAAATAAAAAGTGGTAGCTTAAGTTTGGGCATAGCTAATTTGACAGACTTATTTTTGTTTTCATTTTATAACTAACATATCCAATCCTTGTGTGTTAAAACTACAACTATAATTTTTTTTTAATTCGAACCAAATAGTGGTGAATTAAATAAAGCAAACGGTTATTATCCCGGCCACAAACAAACAGCTATAAAAACAGTTTGGCTACCAGTTGTATCTTATTTACTCTGATTATCGACACCCTCAGAACACCGACATACGTGCCACGCCCGTCTCGAAGATGTTAATAACTTATCTTCAAACTTAAATACCAGTATTGAGAAACAAGTAAAGATGTTTTTTAGTACTTACACATATGCAAGCAATTCCGAAACAAAACACATGCTATAAAGCTCAGATTTTATTGACTGCGTGTTCGAATGGCATCTGTGAATATAAAAATAATACTTAATAGATGTATCCTTATTTTTGATGTAAATTATATATAACATATAATCTTAAAAAAAAATCACTTTTCTGATTTTAAATGTGTGTCACAATTCTTGATACCTTCTTGTCATACACTGTCATAATTCACGAAACCCCTCCCGCCTCTGCAGCCGTGAAATCATCTAGATCAGTGGTTTCCAACTGGCGGCCCGGGGGCCGCATCCGGCCCGCGAAGCCTTTCTTGTGGCCCGCGAACTAAAATATATTAGTTGTCATCTTTTCGCGGACAATTTTCGTAAAAAATCTATATGGGTTTAAATTCTTTTCTCGTTAATAAAAACCTAATTTCTTCGTTTCTGTAAAATTTATCATACCAACGGTGCAAAAAAAGTTATTTCTCAGGTTTTGCATCCAAGAAAATATTTATTCCAATACAAAAATAATCGTGTATGTTGTTCTTTTTTATTAATTTTTTTTTGTATTTTGTGAATATAATTTAGCATGTGTGTATCAGAAATTTTCTCGAAGAAATTCTCCGATTTAACTTTTTGAAACCACTCATTTTGGATGAAAATATTTACACACGCATTTGTAAATTTTAAATATAAATATCTATTCTCTGGTGGTTGCAGCAGGCAAACCTCAATCTTGTCATTGAACATTTTGTGTGCTACTATGTAAGTTTTAATACCAACCTTTTTAAAGTTTTATATCTTAACAATTAGATATCTGTTGCACATTAATTGCTTAATGCATGGGTGCACATTAAAGTTATTGTAGCCCGAATTTCTTAACATGCAATTAAACATTTTTAAAAATCTACTTCTTATTTAAATTTGTAATTCAATACTTTTATTTTTTACAACTTGGTAAAAATCTGACAGTAATATTTAATGTTCCTTCAAACATAAAAGAGTCCTACATAAAATTTTGATAAAGTTGCGGCCCGTCACTTGATTTGTGTTTTTAATTGTGGCCCCCGGCCTCATGTAAGTTGGAAAACCCTGATTTAGATGGACGATCCTTAAAATAATAGATGAAATCGCATCGTTTACCCTACCCCATTATGCAAAAAACTGACGCAGTTTAACTTGCTTTCTCATGTGAATGTAAGAAAGATATGAAAATAACATAATTAATGTACTAATTTATGGGTTTAAAAACAATTACGGTTATAAGGGATCGAAAATTGTCTTCAAGATACAACAAGATGTCAAAAGTTTTTAATGTTAGTTGCTGTTTGTTGACATTATTAAAGAACATTCTTTTGAGTTGTACCTTTTTTGCTGAGTAGATGCAATATGATTTCAAGGATCAAAATTCAAACACCAATTCATAATATTTAATATTTTGCATCCTTTTTTTCGGTTTCGATTTGCAATTAATATTCATTGATAACAACATCCAGACGTTAAGTTATCGAAACAAAGACAATCTGACGCCGAGATTGACGACCATTGTAGTTTAGTGTCTCTCATCATTGGTTTATTCTCGAATAAAAAAAATCAAAGCTAAACAAAAATCGAATAATAAATTTCATTCAAAGGCGTGGCAACTTGGAGAAATTTATTTCCGTAGTAATATTTATTCCATTCTTGCATTTCGTTTTGACGAATGAGGCAGCGTTGGTTAATTCCTTAATCTTGTTGTTCAAACTGAAAATAAATTAGTAAAATTAGGAATACTGAGCACTCCGTGTATATTCCTTTTTTCAATTGTATTGTTTCAATTACCACGATGAATTTTTTGCAACAACAAAACAGTGGCGATTTCAACACATGGAAAGGAAATGCTGGCTTAAGCAGGATTAATTATCCTCAGCCTTATTACGCAAAACCAGAAATGAGTTACAATTATGACCTTTGGTCTACAACTGAAGCTTTTGGACCAAGTCAACGAAATTCGATTTTAATGAATTGCGCCCAAAGTAAGTTTTAAGATGATTGTTAATTTATGTTGTAATTTATTATGGTTGTAATTTACACAATTCTAAGTTAGTGTAGTTAATATCGTTATCATAATCCATGATTAATTCAAAAATGCTTTGATTGAAGGTCTTTTGGAATCATGTGATCATCATTTGTATAATATCTCTCGTAACCGAAACCGAAAATTTCCATTAATTCAAAGGAAACGACCTGGAAGTAATTGATGTTATTAAATGTTATAGTTTCTGAAAGAACTTTTGTTGATCTTAAAAAATTCGTATGTGTTATCTTGTGTGTATTTTGTTTAACTTACTAAATTTCTAAGAACCAGTGCCAATGTTTAGAACCCATCTTGTAGAACGGAAAATAGCGTAACACACAGTTTGCCAGGTCTTGTAAAATTTTAAAAAGTGGTAACAAAAGTATCTTTAGCAAGTTATAATTCACTATCAAACCTAAGATATTAAAGTAAATTCATATTGGAACGAATTCCAGTTCTTTCAAGATTTAAAAATGAAAGCAAACCAATATATAATATAGAAATTTTATTAAAATATCGAAACAACCGTTCGAACTCAGGTAGCAGCTTATTGCTCTCATGAAGTAACATTATTTAATGGCAATTATTATTTAATTTTAGTGTTATTTTAATGATTAAAATGGTAGATAGCTGAGTTGATGAGAAAGGCAGGAATGAAGAATGTACTGGTTAAGTGTTTTAGATATTTTATTATGATATTGGAGCAGCTAGGCTCCCAGGATTTGTAGATTTCTTTTTGTAACTCCTTGATCAATTATAAATCATAACTTTTTTAATATAACATAAGCCAATGAGTGTTGTAGGCAGCTTCATTGTAGAACCTGCGCGTGACACTAAATAAAGTAAATAATATTTAAAAAAAACATTTTGCCAAGATGCGCATTGTTTGAAACTAAAATTACCTGAATTCAATGATAAACGTTTAAAATAAATTTTAATCGGATATTAATAAAACTTAGGACATTTAATAAGCTTTTAAACATTTTAGTTTTGATTCTCTAAAACGAGAAATGGAGTACAAGTAGTCAGTTAATCAGTACTGAGAAATAATATGAAATCTGGTTCATAACTGAAAACATATATCGACACAATAAAAGAGCTTGATGGAAGAACCAGGTATGTGAATTTTTTTGGAGAATTATTGAACAAAAAGTGGTTGCAACAATAAGGGTATGTTTAATGTAAAAAGAACTGTCATTTCCTTGACTTACATTTTAATACAATTAATCACATCAGTTTTTAGTATGTTTGCATGATTTTTATTTCAAATTTAACATAGGTAAATATACTAAAGCAAAGTTTCCGCATTCTTATAAATTGGTAAGAAAATAGTTCGGAAGAAACTTTTTTCGTTCTTGAAATGTCCCTTACCTGGTTCTTCCACTAAGTGTTATAATTAATATAACTAAAGTAATTTAAATTTTTTATGTTACTATTATTTGTTGTCCTTTTCGGTGGCTTCACGTTATTGAACTAAGCAAATCTAAGAATATAACTATTTGAACGGATACTGAATACGGCCGCCGAATCTAAATTTTTATGAAAAAAATATCATTAAATATTTTTTATATATAAATAAGTGGCCCAGGTGATGGAGCACTCGCCCCTGAATGAGGTGACCTGGGTTCGAATCTCAGAGCGATGCCCAATGATCACGCACAGGACTCGCCTCAACCACAGTACTGGAGTAAAATATCCCCAGTGGTAGACGGATCATGGACTAGAGAACCCTTGCCGTTAGAGGATTTTCGTTTTCTTCCTACCCATGTAATGCAAATGTGGGTTAGTTTCATCCAAAAGTCTTCCTTAAAGACAAATTTTTCCCAATACTTGATCCAGAAGGTGAATTGGCTTCACTATAACAAGGCTACGTAGTTGAACACTAGTAATCGTCGTAAGCTCAAAAAATAGTGTTGGCGACGGTTATGAAATAAAATACATATAAACGAGTTTAGTTCGTAAATGAATGTTCTTTTCACTAATCTTTTATATTGTTTTTAGAAAAAACATTCGATTAAATTTTCTTTTTTCACAAGCATTTCAATGAAATACCTGTACTTATATAAAAATTAAGGAAATATTAATGGGATATAAATTTCGAAACCTGTAATTACATTTATATCCCATTAATATCGAGTTATTAATGGGATATACATTTAATTGCAGGCTTCGATAAACATCGCGCATTGAACGAAGCGAAAGTTGTGTCGACGAAATGAGCTGTCTGTGAAAGGATAGTGTCGACAAAGTAAAGTCGGCTGTGGGGATAGTGAATTTCATCGTTATAAACCAAACCCTTTTATTTATTAAATTGTAAATTAAAGACGTGCTCTACCAACACTTCTTAGAAGGGAGGCCTGAGCACGGATCAATTTAGTTGTCCGATGTAGCAAATATAAACTGCGCAGTGGAGGTATTAGGGATACTAAGCTGCGTACTGTGGGATTAAAAGAGAGATTTCCCTTAAAGAATCGATTCTTTTTCTAAACAAATTTTTGTATTATTAGTAAATTAGCTCATTTTTTTATTTCAGTTACCGTTGGTTTTTAAATTGATTAGTGTTTCAAGAAACAATTCAAATTCGACGACTACAAACAAAATAAACGCGTTTCAGATAACTCTTGAATATGGTGGCTCATATATTATCCATGTTAATCCTGGAAAAAATAAATTAAAAAATAATCAAATATCAATGAAAATCGTTATTTGATTCACCATAACTGTACGCTAGCAATCATCAATACTTGAAGGAAAGGGAAAAAAGGGGGAATGGTCCACGTATCAACAACAAATGTCAATGCTAAATTTATGAGAAAATTTCAATTTTCGAAAGTCAATAAGTTTCGATATAAGAAAGCAACACGTGCTTATAAAATTCCCTGGGTTAGCTTTCTTCTTTAAAATATTACGTCTTTCAGCAAAAAATTCTAAATTAGGAATCTCGTCCCTATGGCAGAATCGCGGCGACATGGCGACGTAGTCGCAGAACGTCTTGCAAAAGATTTTCTTTTGGAAAAATTTATGTGGTTTTCCTTTCTGCAGAAATGTACACGTAAAATTTGAATTGCGCATTTAAATAATCACTTTTTGTCGCGTTCAATTTACGCCGATAGTATCGTAAATCCATGTAGTGTTTCAATTTTATTTTCGGCAGTTATTGATTTTCACATAGTTTCTAATTATCCCCATATATTTCAGACGATATTTGAAATTAGAATAAAGCTTTCGAGTATTTACTTTTTAAGGCAACGATTCCATCGTTTTTTTTCTGTGGCAATTATTGATTTTGATTTCCATATAAATTTTAAAATCCGATATTATTTATTACAACAATCAAATATTAAAACGAAGTACGCATTCCAGTAACCCCTTTTTAATGAGTCCGATTTGCATGATTTCATCGTCGATCTGTTTTTTGGTACTTACTTCTACAGATTTCATGATTTTAATATTTTTTTTCGAATGCGATAATGATTTGTAAAATGCGATGAGGAAAATAATCCAATTTTCCCCAACAAAATGCAAGACTATCACCCATAACATTAGAATAAAAAGTATTACATATTCAATGAAAATATTTTTGCTTCTTTTGTAAACACAGCGTTTTCATTACTTTAAATAAGTAACATATATATTTGTTATTATTGAATATTTTATTTTATAACCGTCGTCGCCCCAATTTCATGCGTTTACGACTACTGATGTTCAACTCCGTAGCCTTGTAATTTTGAACCAATCCAGAAGACAAGGAAACTCCTGAATCAGTTATCCCCAGAGGTATTGATTTGTTATGGTTATGGGAACATGGAGGACTTTGCATCTCGATAGATTTTAACGTGTATCACGAGCAGGGCTGATTGTGCTCCAGAAAAAATCCGGATTTCTGGATTTTTCGCAAAGTTTCCGGAAGTTTTCGGAGATTGAAGGTCCAGAAATTTTAAAAAATCATTGATCACAGAAGTTTCCGGAAATCAAATTTTCAAAGGTGGAACTTTATAAGATTATAATAATGATTAATATTCATTTTTTATCAGTAAATAGTTGTTTTAATCATAAACTCAAGAAAAAAAGGCATATTTGTAAATTTTAATTACCTCTCCAGGATATCATAGTTATGTGTAAAATTGTAAATATATTTTAAGTAAACTAAGAAATATTGAGAAATAGGAAAAAATTTTTTAATAAGAAATTTTTTTCAATGTTAACTTTTTTTTAACTCAAGAAATTTTCCGGAATTTTGGTTTGGGCTCACAATCACCCCTGCACGAGACTCGACAGATTTTAACATGCACCAGTCACCATCTACTACACGGGGAGTCTTCGGCCGGCGAGGATTGAACCCACGACCTCTTGGACATGGGCCCAGCGCCCTACCGACCAGGCTACCCCGGCCAATCATATTCTTATAGACAGCAGCATCAGCATTCATATGGATTATTAAAGGTTTAAATTACATTATAAATTATAATAATACGATAATAAGGAGCTGGTTACAAGGATGACTCACAAACTCTTCACTTTATTATTGTAGATAATTTAACTAAGATACTCATGTTTTAATCAAATTCTTCAAGAATTATTTAACATTCTTTCCTTTTAAATTGTACACTTTTTGATTGTATTCTAATTTTAAAAATTTTACTTCTCAGATAATCACCATACATGGGCCAAAAATTCTGCTTTTCAGAATCGAATAAATCCTTCAGGTATTTCAATCAACGACACCAGTCCCACCAATAAGTCTAACTCTACTATTCCTCTTGGCATGAACTGTGGCCAAATTAGTAAGTGTTTTTTTATTTCATTTAATTAAGTTGTTTTAATTATTATAAATTAAATTGATTTTATTTAGACGTACAGTTCTGTAAAACTAAAGCAGAACTATTGTATAAATTTCAATAATAGAATTTTCACAAAGTTACTTTAATAATAGCTAAGTTAAAATTTATTTTACTCAAAATTGCATTTTCCCCCACTTACATTAGATATTGAAAATGAAAATGGCACTAGTACGGTCGTTGGAAAAGATTTTAGGAAGTGGTAGACGACGTAAAACAAAACTTAAGTTTATAGGAAGAATTTTTTTTAAATGAAACACTTTGAGACATTTATAAGTATGTTTAGTCAACAAATAGAGCTTATCTGCTTTTTTTTTTTTAAAAAATTTCGATTCTTAGTGGTAGTTAAAACTTATTTATTTATTTATTTTTTTGAATTTTTAAACTTCAAGATTTACAACATGTTGCTACCTCTACAGGGATCTGTCCAAACATTTTGTGAAAGGTCCTGTTTTTGTAAAATTGGAAAAAACTACACTTTTTTGTGAATATAAAATAAGTGTTAAGTCACATTCTTTCACAATAATAGGACCCTATTTGCACTAATTCACAAAACCAGGATCCTATTTGCACTAATTCACAAAACCAGGACCCTGGTTGAAAGAATGTGACTTAACGTTTATTTTATNCCCCTGTGAAAAAAATAATTGCAAAAAACATCAATAATTAGAAAACATTTAATTATATTATTTTAATAATATATAAAATTTTTAAAATTAAAATTCTTAATGTGAAGGTTGCTGCTGCTTTTCCTTAATTAATAAATTGAATTGGGGGATGGTTTTCGACTAAGCAATATCATGTTCAATATTCAATCGATTTCGATGTTATGTTTTTATTGTCACAAGTGTGGAAAATCCCGCTTCGCAAAGATACACTGTCGCAAACGGAATTATAGCTGCCATAGCTTGCTTTACAAGCAATGCAATGGGTAGGCTTCCAAACGTTTTAAAAATTAGGAGCAGTCAGCAGACCCCCAAAATATAACTCATGGACCTCTTAGGGGTTCATGAACCACAGGTTAAGAAACCCTGCTCCACAGGGATCTGTCCAAACATTTTGTGAAAGGTCCTGTTTTTGTAAAATTGTGAAAAAACTACACTTTTTTGTGAATATAAAATAAGCGTTAAGTCACATTCTTTCACAATAACAGGACCCTGGTTGAAAGAATGTGACTTAACGTTTATTTTATATTCACAAATTACGAGTAATTTTTTCACAATTTTACAAAAACGGACTTTTCACAAAATGTTTGGACAGACCCCTGATAAATAAAATGAACATATAAATATATGGGTGTTGCTCAAGAGCCAAAGTTGCCATGGATCAATTAGAAAAAGAAGGGGGGGGGGATTCTCTTTCTTCTCAGAAGAAGGTGTGGTTTTTCAATCTATTTGTTTATAAATCATTGTCACTCTTATTATCGTAAACAACCAATCTTCCTCTTTTAACGGCATCATGACTCTCAAGAATATTAAGTTTCCGAGAAGTGAACTGATCAGCAGATCTGTAGGTTCTGCATTAATTTAGGTGACGGTGTAGCTTTTATTGTTGTTTCCTGTTACAATTGATTTGCTTTTCTTTTTTCTGAAAGTGCTGTTTAAAATAAAAGAACTTTTCATCTTAGATCTTTCATATACTTAACTTTTTTTTTGTTCTTATTCTATACTTTTGCCTTAGATTGTTCTAATGTCACATTTTATATTCAAAAATATCTACGTTTCTAACTCTTAGCATATCTGTAATAGTTTTGTGACAAAGCAATTAATAATTTTTTCATTTATCAAAAATGGTACATAAAACAAATTACATTGAAACATTAGGTTTGCGCTAAAATAACGCCGTGAGAGGACCAAATTCGAATCAATTGACTCAAATCAAGTGATTTTGATTACTGATTCAAGTTAAGGGATTCAGAACAATCATTCGAATCAGATCAGTGATTCGAATCATGCGATTAAGATCACTATTGAAATTAAGTGATTCAGATCAATAATTAGAATCAAGTTATGCAAATCACCGATTAGAATCAAGTGATTCAGATCAGTTATTCGTATTATGCCATTTTGGATCAATGATTCTAATTATGCGATTCGAATAATTGATTCTAATCAAGTGATTCAAATCATGTGACTTAAATCTCATTTCGAATCTAGTAATTTCGATCACTGATTCGAATAACGGGATTTAAATGACATAATGGCAAATCACTTGATTCGAAATTGCAAAAAATTCGAATGAAGTTCAATTACCTGTCACTATATTTCTTTTAACTAATGTCGATCAGTCTCATCTCCAGTTGCTCGGTCTTATCTCCAGCTTTGTACCTGATAGTCAATACAAATAGCTCACTGATCGCTTATTAAAATTATTTACCATCAGATATATTATTTTCTCGAGCAATTGATCTTCCTTACAAACTTTGACCACTTCCTTACTAACTAAAGCAATTTAGAGTGAACACCGAATAGCAGAGTTAAAGCAGAATTAATGTTAACCAAATAGCAGACAGAATTTATATCACCAAATAGAAGAGTATGAGCAGAATTTATGTCACCATTTTTTAAGAGAAACATTATTGAACAGCCGACCCAATTTTTTGTGTTTACGACTACTAATGTTCAACTCGGTAGCCTTGTAATTTTAAACCCAATCCAGAAGATAAGGAAACTCCTGGATCAGTACCTTCGGATGTATAATTTGTTATAGGAACGCGGAGGACTAAGTGACCCGACTGATTTAACGTGCACCAGTCATCATTTACTACACGGGGAATCTACGGCCGGCGGGGGTCGACGCCACGACCTCTTGGAATCACTTTTTCAAAATTTAAAAACATTGTAAGTGAAATAATTATTAGAAAATTCTGTTTTTGGGGGGAAAGAGGGTGAAGGCGAAGCACTGAGGCTCATTCCTTCTATTATAAACTAATATCAGCACTTGGAATTTCCCTTTCGTTTTTCAGAAGTGATGCACAATACGTTTTTCATCAATGATTAGAAAAAAATAGAAATATAGAAGTGCACGTAGAAATGTAGTTTTTTAATTTAATTTCTTTATTTTCTTATCTTTTGCTTATTGTACCAGATGTAAGAAAAAGGACTATTTTTTTTTACATTTATTTAATTAATTAAAATTTTTTACCCAGAGCGGAAGCCATTATTACACAAAGGGTCATTTTAGGAGTAATTTTTATACGTTAACAGACCCAGCGCATAGTATTTCGGATAATATGAAAATCTGTGTTTTATACAAAAAATATTTTGAAAATGAAGTAATTTAATTAGCAGTCGTTTTAAAAATAAAGAACACGTATGAATTGTTTGGCCGTAAGATTAACAGCGGGCACTCGAAATTTTTTTCATTTTAAGAATAAATTTTTTATAAATTAATTTTCAGGACAAAATTTAGAGTCAATGTATTGATAGTAAAAAATTAAATATATCCTTTTTTTTAACGTAACATGTTTTGAAAGTTTATTGCTGAAATTGAAGCAATTAATATTTATAGGCTGCGATTGTAATGCCCATTTATATAATGCATTTTGAACCATTTTCTGTTGCAGGTCCATCATACTGGAGAGCAATTACATCCTCAAAATCAATGCATAATGGCGCTGAAGGCATCCAAAAGCCAGAAGCTCATAACTGCAATCCAGTTGTCCACTACAACAGTTATCGACCGGCTATGATTCATCAACCAAATAGTTTCAGTCAGTTCAAAAAAAGTGTATCCCCGCCAGGATTGATGCAAAGTTGCAATTTCTGTCGTCGCAATGGAGAACGCAAAGAATTTTACACCAATCATGTTTTGAAAGACAGCACTGGCGATGTTCAGTGCCCAATATTGCGACAGCATATCTGCGAACTATGTGGCCAAACTGGTCCAAAAGCACATACCCAAGCCTACTGCCCACTGTCAAAAAATAAACCTGGCAAAAAGAATCGACCTCTTACCATCAAGCTCAAGGAAACTCAACGTGATAGTTGTGGACGCGTAAGATTCTCATTTTAGTTATGCGAACTGCTTGAAACATTTTGTCCAAAAGGGGCAAAAAACAAATGCAATTATCTTCTGTGTTTCTTGCAATTATAAACAGGGTGCGTAGCGTTTTTTAAAGGTGCTTATTTTCCTTTTTTTTTAAAGCCCTTAAAGGTGCTTTTTTCATTGGGTGTTTTTAAAAAGCGCTTAATTTTTCCTTTTCAAAATGAGATTTTTCCTTTTATGGTGATTTTCGCTTCAAATTATGCAAAAAGACTCAGCTCACATTCAAAATTTTCACAATTAATTCAACCCCAATCTATTTCGGCTTATTGCCAGTCCGTAGCGTATGAAAACAACATTCGTTTTACATGATTCAAAATTTCATGATTTTTGACAATTGTCAAAAACAATGAAAAAAAAAAATTTTTTTTTTTTGACCTGACGGTTAAAACAAGATAAAACCATAAATTGTCAAAAACTTTCCCACTCTGCCTAATTATGATATTTTTTTATGCACCCTGTATAAAGCAATTCAATAAGTATTCCATCATTTATTCATTTTTGCATTCTTAAAAACACTTGTTAAATGTTTAATGCCTTTTTTTCCCTTGAACTTGCTTAATTGAACTGATATTTTTTAAGGTTTGTGTTACAGTAGGGAACCGATTATCCGGAACGATCGGGACCATCGCTATTCCGGATAACTGATTTTTCCGGTTTTCTGAATGGCTACTGAAAGCCGTTTTTTTTTATTGTTAAATTCAACTAAAAAAGAAAAATATTTACAAATAATCTTAAAAAGAAGAAAAAACGATGAAGTAATACACTAATGATTATTTCTAAAATGATGGTAAGGTAAAAAAGAATGGATGGTAAGGTAAAAAAGAAAGAAAAATCCTAAAATCTTATGTGGAAAAAAAAATTTTTTTTTAAAAAATGGTGGGAAAATTCACTGAATTTCGTTCCGGTTTTTTGGTTTTCCGGATAACGGGTTCTGTACTTATATGAATGATATTAGCATTTTAATATCACAATATATCCTCCACGAAAATATCCATTTATCATATCGGTAATATTATGTTTAAAAAATGTTATTCATTAATTCTCTAAAATTTTACATGCATGAGAAAGTTATAGAATTAATTTCTATTTCAAGTCCTATTCTTATATTAAATTTATGTATTGTGTTAAAAGTTGTCCAATAATATTGTGTTTCAAAGATGTAATTCATTATTATATATTTGCAAGTATGAAAATAAAACATATACCAGAAATTTATAGAATAATGTCTGTAAGTTGTTAGACTCTTACTCTTATTTTAAATTTCCTTATTTAATTAATTATAGAATAATTTCTGTTTCAAAAATGTAATTTGATAAGATTGTTACTTAAAAGTAATTATCCATAAACAGGGATACAAAATTGAACAAGTGTTAAAAGTGAGGTAATAAAATTTTTTATGTTCAATAAGGTAAGTGTTTGTTTATTTATGCATATTTGTATAAAATTTTTTTTATTTAATTTCCAAAATATTTGACAGGATTCATAGTTGCACCGCTTATATTACACAGGATGCCTAGCGTTTTTAAAAAGTACTTATTTTTGATTTATGTTTTTTTTTTTGCCGGGTCGATTGTCTTTCTTAATTACAAAAAAATTCATGATTTTTCACAATTTTCTCTGCAATATTCATCAAAAAATTTTATCATGATCATGTGAAGTNTTTTTTTTTTTTTTTGCCGTGTCGATTGTTTTTCTTAATTACTAAAAAATTCATGATTTTTCACAATTTTCTCTGCAATATTCATCAAAAAATTTTATCATGATCATGTGAAGTTTTTGAATTTTATGTTTATAAATTAAGAGCTTTAAACGATTGAAAAAAAATTATATTTCTCCACAGATCCTAATTGTGATAATTTTTTTGAAAGTGATTAAAAATATTTTTGAGTGCTTAAAAGGTGCTTATTTTTTGTTAAAAAATCTGGCTACGCAACCTGTTAACAAAATATTTAAATAAAACATAATTTTTTTTATTTATTATTTTATTCAATTTTAATAACAGCCAATCCAACTCTGAATTTAAAATTACTAAGCAACTTCGCAGCCTTGTTATTTAAAACCAAACACAGAAGACAAGGGAATTCCTGGATCAACTATTTTTTGCGTTACTTGGAGACGAAAACCTCTCCCAGTTAACCCAACATCGAGGGGATTTTTAAGTTATTTTTTGTTTTATTTTATTAAAAATATTTTAATAAATTTGTAGTGATTTAAATTGTATTACGTTAATCCATGTAATAATTGCCATCTTGGCGAGATTTCAAATAGTTGCCAAGGGGTGGGCTATTCTAGGATTCTTTCTACCTTCTCTCTAAGTTATTGCCCATACATAACTTGACTCGTTTACTCTCTCAAAAAATATTTCTTAACTTCAGCTAAGATGAACTGTGTGATTTTTTTGGTAATTTTATTTAAATCACATGGACAGTTAACTCCATTATCACTATTTTTCTCAACTCCTGGAAAGAAATACCTTTCCCGTACGTCATACATCAATTAGTCGCAGAAAATCGATAAACTTGCACTACACTATCAGGGTTCTGTCCAGACATTTTGTGAAAGGTCCGTTTTTCGTGAAATTGTGAAAAAATTACATTCTTTCAACCAGGGTCCGCTTTTACAAATGTGTGCAAATAGGGTCCGTTATTGCAAAAAGAAATTTTTTTCAAGGAGTTTTTAAATTGTAAAGACATACAAGATTATGCTTAACACTCTAAAATTATAATTAAAAAAATTAAATTTTAAAAAATAAACAACAATTGCTGCTTTTAAATTAGAGATGATTTGGAATTCAGCCTATACTGCTGAACGCAGAATATTAATTTCGAACGAATAATGGAAGAATCGTCTGCCAAAGACAAAACTTAATTCGTTTACATCCATCTTTCTTGTTTTCTGCCCTGGAAAGGGTTTATTCGATTAACAAAATAATAATGAAGATAAACAAATTTGTGAAGGGTCCGATTAAAAGAAAAATCATTTTGTGAAGGGTCCGTTTTTATGAAAAGATATTTTGTGAAGGGACCGCGTTAACGGACCCAAATTTCTTCTAAACAGACCCCTGACTATCGATACAAAGACACTGTCATATAATACCCGCGTTATCCCGATAATTAAAAAAATCTTAATGAAGCTATTTTTAGCTAGTATACATGCATAAAAGTATATGCGGCATTTTTTAAAAAATTAAGCATCATTGGTGTCAATAATCGATGACGACTTACGCGGTTTTATATGACGAATACAGGGATGCCATAAGGGACTAAAAATGTAAAAAGTAGTAGAAACTCAATTCATTTTTATTTATTTAAAACCTATAATTATTCAATCGTTACTACTACTCAGGGCTAAAGAAAATAGAAGGGCTAGTTCACTCGGCTCTTAGAGCTGAAGCTACGATTTCCCTCCTTATGACGTCACTGTGTCCACAGATCTCTGAGATCGCAAGCATAGATATTATAATAACTTTGCATCTTTCGCTTTGTAAAAATAAGTTCGACTTTTTCTGGTTATTAGCTTTCAAACTTTACGTAATTAACACATTATTTCCGTTCATAGACATAGTTAAAAAAACTTTCTTGGCCATTATATTAAAAAAAATACCATTTTAAACTTATAAAAATGTTTTACTAGTTGGCGAAAATGACACTATAAATACTTTATTTTAAAAAGTTCAGTTTTAACTTTAATTATTAAGAAAAATGAAAGCATATATCGACAC